TACCGCTTATGTCCAAATTTGAGCATTCAAATTCAGCCGTACGTGTACTTTGAATGGTAGAGTTAAACAAATGATTGTGAGTTTTTAGTAAGTCTTCATCGTTAGTTTGATAAATCAATCATTGTACAGAAACCAAGTCTCCAGGACACTGTGTCTTGATTTTACGCACACACCTAACACGATGTTGCTTGAAAATGGAATAGTATATTTGTTCTTTTTTTAATGTTAACAATAGATATATTAATTAAATTTTTATTGAAAATTTGGAAAAGGTTCCTAGCTAGTGCAGATGTTTATTTTGACCCAGTTCAGTTCATTGGCCAAAAGGAAATAAAAGTCAAATACTTTACATTATATTGAGATTCATATGCTTTGACAGAGGCTTAATGAGATAAATCCGGGTTTATTTGCTGATAATTAATATCTGTAAACTGCTAAATCAAAGACTCCTGACTTGTTTTACAAAATGCAAGTTACAGTGTTATATAGCTTAAATTGACTGATGGCGGCCATAATCACCTCACCTTTGCATTATTTCTTTTAAAATATACACATATTGTAAATTCAGAACAACATATATAAGCGAACAATATTCAGAGCATCTAATCGAAAACATTATCGTTCGCTTATATATGTTGTTTCGAAGTTATTTCTTTTGTCTATTCGCAAGATATTTAATGCATGAGTGTATGTAGAAATCCCACCCCTGTGTACTCCATGTATCATAATTGCCATACTTACCTAAAATGTGAGGTTAATACCTAAAGTTCATTTGTACCATGTATCACGTAAAAGTATTAGTACGGACACTAAATCATTTATTTTCTGAAAAATAGTAATACCTCTATTTTATAGTATTCTACCTAATATATTTATTTATCGGGAGTGTCACGTAGTTGGTTTGTATTCCCTAAATTCATATATATATGCTACTTTATAGATCTGATGCTCCAAGAAATCGACTGCATACTAAGTTAAATAAACTCGTAGAAACCTAGCGTATTATCTTACTTTACACGCACATTTATGCAGAAGGAGCAACATATCAATTCCAAATTTAAATCTTCTAGTGATAACGGCATTCATAAGCCGTGGAAAAGGAGTGTGGACCATGAGGTCAATATGCGAACGCCGTAGAAAATAGTATTGCTAAGAATACGCTACGCAGTAAAAACAAATTAAACCATTCAAACTCTTCCCTAGGAGTTGAACGATTTTCATTAAGAAGAATTATGACGTCTCATAGTGAAAGCCGATATTCTTAGGAAGTTACGAGGTCAATGCTCCTTCCAGCAACCACAGTAACAATTATTATAGGCACATGCAATATTCGGACCATGTGCAACACCAGAATGAACATTCAAATAGCTACGGAAATCAAGAGATATAACTTGGTGGTTCTTGGGATCAGTGAAACGCATTGGACCCAAGCTGAACAGAAAAGATCAACTTCGGAAGAGATGATGTTGTACTCTGGTCACGAAGAAGAAAATGCTCCGCACACTCAGGGAGTTGCTCTGACGCTGTCCAAAGAGGCAGGCAAAGCACTTGTAGGATGACTGTCTCATGGACCCACGATCATCAAAGCACCCTTCAAAGCAAAGAAGTAGGGAATCACAAAGAATGCTATGCACCCACCAATGATAACAACTATGACAATAAAATCAGTTCTATGGGAGGCTACAATCGATCATAGAGAAGTGATCAGGAAAGGACCTGACCATCCTGATGGGAGACTTGAACGGCAAATTTGGAATGGACAACATCGAATATGAAGATATCATGGGACCACATGGACTGGGAGAGAGAGACGAGAGTTGTGACCAATTTGCACATTTATGTGCATTCATACTACAGAGAACCAGACCGATTATATTTGCATCAAAGAAAGATTCAGAAGGACAATGGAAGATGTGAGAACTGGGAGACGAGCTAACATAACTTCACATCACCATCTGGTTGTGGCTAAGATGAAACTGAAGCTAAAAAACACTGCATAACTGAGGAAACAGCATTACAAATGTTCAATACAGCCTGACTTCATGATATTAAAAAACTCAACCAATTCAGGATAACTCTCAACAACAGGTTCCAAGTCTAACGAGATCTACTCACAGAAGAATAAACTATTATACAGGACGTTCGGAAAGAGATCAAAGAAGCACTATCTTCAACGTGTCAGGAAGTGCTGGATGGCAACAAGCATCATCATAAGGAATAGATCTCTATCGAAACCCTGCATAAGATTCAATAAAGGAATAACAAGAAGATAACGATTAACAACAGTCGAACAAGAATAGATAAAGTCAAGGCACACGCCGAATGCACAAAAACAAACAAGCAAGTGAAGAGGAGCATTTGAGCTGCCAAGCAGAAATACATAGAAGACCTAGCAACGACAGTGGAAAAAGCTGCAAGGGAAGGAAATATGAAACAACTATGTGACACAATAAAGAGATTAGCAGAGAAATACAGTAAACCACAAATACCGGTCGAGGATAAAGAAGGCAAGACAATCACGAAGATTCAAGAACAGAGGAACAGATGGGTAGAGAACTTTGAGGAACTCTTGAATAGACCAGCTCCATTAAATCCACCCGACATCGAAGCAACACACACAGACCTTCCTATAGATGTTACTCCACCAACGATCGAAGAAGTCAGAATGGCCATCAGACAAATCAACGATGGGAAAGCAGTGGCACCTGACAACATACCACCTGAAGCACTGAAGTACGCTTGAACAGATCGTCAGCATCGTTCGGAATTCTTACTACGGACTACACTGCAAAATCGTGCATGGAGTCAAGCTAATAAATGCATTCCAAATGAATACCAGTGTCAGACAAGGTCTGATACTGACGTAAAGGCAATGATTAGCAAACTAAGGGCAGCACTCCTACAGTTGAAGAACATATTTAACTCAAAAAATTATGTCAGCCAACACCAAAGTCAAAATCTTCCATACGAACGTCGAGACACTTTTAGAGTATGGAGCCGAAACCTCGAGAACTACCACAACCGTCATCAAAAATGTACGAATATATTTAAACAATCACCCACGCAAGATACTCAATGTCCGTTGATCGGACACTATCAGCAACAGCCTTCTGTGGGAGAGAACAAACCAACTTTCAGTTGAGGAGGGAATCAGGAGAACTTGATGAAGGTAGATGGGATATTTATTGTGGACATCATCAGACTACACGAGGCAAACCCTAACTTGGAATCCTGACAGGAAAGGGTAAAAAGGAAAACCAAGGAACACATTGCGTCGGGAATTGGAGGCGGATATCAAAAGAGTGAAACGCAACTTGAGAGGATTTCTCAGGATAGAGTTCGTTGGACAACCCTGATAGGCGGCCTACATTTCTCCATGAGGGTTAATATGCATAAGGAAGTAAGCAGCAACATCCTCACCGTGCAACTATATTTAGATTTTTTCGCGTTACTAATTTTCAGGTTACCAAAAATATTACTCCTGGCTTTCAGATATTTGAAGTTGAAATTTTCATATATTTATTTTGGTATAAATCCCATCTAGCCAAAATTTCATAATTTCTGTTGTAGTAGAATACTGCTAACGTCAGTATGGTAATTAGGAACCTACGTTATCTGTGTGTAATCTGTTTGGACAATATATGTGCAATTCACTAAACACACGTGATTAGTATTATATTTATGACTAAGGTTAAGTTTTCTTTATCCTAGTCTTTATGCACCAAATAACTTCTTTCATTCGTCCTATAAACATTAACTGGCCGATTTTTAACGACAAGTGTTAACACCAATCACTCATTACGGATCAGTCTTTTATTCCATTTACTCATTATTTATCTGTCGAATGGGCAGAAGAAAGAGATCTATATTAAAAGTTGTTCTAACATACAAACAACTACCAACTGTCTCCAAAGTAGAATTTCACATATTTCTATGAAATATTTTCAGCTGTAAATTTTTTCCCAAAACCAACCTGAGTCATCTCTGTTAGAACATAATAAAATTAATTTCAATAAACCTCCTGACCTCATTTATATATATAAGAGAGTAAATATTACGGTCTTATTCCTAAAATTTATAAATCGTTAATGACCTATTGGCAGGTAAGCATAATGTGTTAATAAATACAATTTATGCTTACGATCAAGCGAAATAAACATGTTACTGAAATAATTTCTCTAATTGTTTAAGTATTCGTGTTCGCTAACAAATGTTCAACATAATCTGACGTGTTTTTTTTGTTGTTGTACAGTTATTGGGGTGTTGTTTTAGGTGGTTACAATGCCAGATTCAAATTCCAGTTTGATTTATGAGGTCAACTAGGTTTAACATGAGAAAAACATACTTATTTAAGACATTCGATGATAAGATCCTGATATTATGACATAAATGAATAAAACAAAACCTAACTATTGGATTACTACTATATAATGACACAACAAAAACAAGCAAACTGAAAAACCTAAAGGTTCGGATTTTTGAACATTTACAGGATGATTCTTATGTAGAACTGATAAGCACTGCATGGTTCATCACCTTTTAGATAATAATTGTTAAAAAGAACCAATTAGAAACACTAAAACAAAACATAGCAATAGATGTAAAATAAAAAAACTTGTATTTGTTTTACGAAGATTTTACATCATTCATATCAACTTTTAACAAACTGGGCATATGATTTATTTAATTACTGAGTTTCGGTGTACCGTCAAAAAATGAAGGAACTGTTCAATGTGTAGTGACAATTTTGTTATTTTTACCATTACCAGTTTTTGTTAAAGAGAAAACTACTAGAACTAATAAAACTGTGATTAGTTTTATTGTGATTACAACTAGATTTGTTATTTATTAATTTTTTTTTAAAAAAGATGAATGAAAAGCAAGATTGCCACTATTACTATTATAACCTATATATATATATATATATATATATATATATATATATATATATATATATATATATATATATATATATATATATATATATATATATATATATAGAGAGAGAGAGAGAGAGAGAGTTTATTTGTAAACCACTTAATTTATCCATAGCAATGGAACAAAGTAGTATTGAACAATGAGTAATATATTAGATTAATATTTCCAGTATACTAATAAATAGTACGTTTGTTTTAGTCATTTATCTTAACAATTAACAATAATTCAACGGCATTCGAATTATTTGGTTACGTTTAGCAATGTGTGATTGTAGCAAAGAGAGTTATAAAGACAGAACTCAATGTTCAAAATTTGTTGACTAAAGCTGAATGTTTTCCTACCTATTATTCTTTTTCACATTTTATACTTTATGCAAATAAATTTATAAATTAGTGAGTCGGATAAAAAGTTGTGGAGAAGTTACAAATGTATCGTTTATCACTTTGTAGGATACTGATACTTATAGTAATATTTCCTACATTTAACATGAAACCTTCTTAAGTTGTACATCATGCTGACTACCGGTATGTGTTTTTCCAGGTCCTGACCAGTTATCTGATGTTCTTGATTCTTGTTCTGCTGAACCAGTTTGAATTTTTGCATGTCCAAGGCGAAAAACTACATTTGGTGATGCACTTGCTAATATTGGAGCTGGACCAATACGCCATTCTTCTGTAACTGGTTCTCTGTCAAATGAATCAATTTGTTCGCTTAAATGAGAAGAATGTAAAATATGTTTACGTTGAGGATATTCCGAATCATCAGGACCAAAATAAGGAATATGAGTCCGGTCACGTTGAGTCTGAATCATTAAATCATGGCTTGTGTCAATGTCATCCAGAGTATTCTGTTCTACAAGACGCGAATCGGAGTAGACTTTGGGAAACTCTATAGTTTCTGAAAAATAAAGACCACAATATAGTTTGTATAGTGATGAAAATAATGGATCCAATTAGATAAATAGATTAGAATATGTAACCGTGGAAATATAACTTGAACTGCCAAAAGGCATTTCTAGCATACTTTATAAACTACAATCCAATTCGGATACTGTGTTTATTCTTAAACTCCTGATCGGCCCAGTTGAGTGCATGGAGAAGATACAGACCATATAGGAACTGGTGTTGCATATGACCAAACAAACCACCTCCAACTTATACTTTGTTACAAGTAGGTAGATTGATCATAACGTGACCATGTATGTAATTACTTTGTTTGGGTGCATTATCCACTTACTCATAATAGTTAAGCTGGGTCTAGATATAACATGAAATACAACTGTGAGACATCCTGGAACACGACTTGTTTAATCTGTTTATCTCAAAAATGACTAGCTAACTATTTGCAAAGTATTATTTTGTAAACTGAATTACTTATTGCATTGAAATTAAGTTATTCTGTTTCACTGGAAGTAACATTGTTTTTATCTTCGAAACCTTACATAGGTAATATATTTGTAAAATCTCAGCAATTCTTTCTACCTAATGTCTTACATTAACTTGGCAATTAAATACTGTGAAAATATCCATTCATATTTAGACGAAGGTTCTTACATACTAATTGTTAAGTTCATTAAAACTACTAAAATGGTTGTATTAGTCAAAATAGATTATTATCTTTGTTTGTATTCGCGTTAAGTAGAAGAAATTTCGAAAAAAAAACTATAACATACATACAAAACATCTCTGAGGATCAATTTGTCGATGACAGTTTTAAAAAAGATTTTGAGGTATAGTGCCTGTTATTTAAACACAATCTGACTGAATAATTAAGATACTCTAGGTATAAAATAAAATACCTTGAAGATTCAGAACTTGCAATATGCACTGAAACACCTAGAAATAATCAGGATGAAATTAGGCATCGTCAATAATTAGAATCTACGATCCGTTTTTGTTCTGTACAAAGTATTCATTGATAGATTTTCTATGTTCACAACTGTATTCATAATGAGGACCTGATCGAACACCTTTATACAAACTTTAGGCATATAAAGTCTCCTGCTTAATAATATTTCAATGTTTTCCACAAATTAAACTTTAGGTTTCAACTCTGAGTAACACTAACATGTATTTAACTAGCACTCAAATAACGGAAGTGGTAATTATCCATAAATACGTAAAAATAAACTTTAATTAAAGATAAATTTGAAAGTAATTTCCAACACGATAGTAAATCGATCAGAAAACTAGGAATAAAATGAAACGTGTTCAATTCTTATTTGAATTTTCTATTACATCAAACTCGGAAAGTTTAGGTTTCCTTCAAGTAAAACACCAAGCAACCAATAGTTGGTATCATGCCAGAAATATTGCCGTGAGTGACACTGAGGATTTTCAAGATAACATGAAACGGTTATTCCGTGCTTCATAGTTCTCAATGTTTTTCGGAAACGTTTCAGTTTATGATAATAAGTGACTCAATAACCAATCAAAGAAATTAACCACTTTATCTAAGTAGAATTAAAAAAATTAAAAATAAGCACGTACGACCATTATAATCCTGTGTTCGCGTATATGACATAGATGGTGTAGCTTTTTTTTCACTATCCCCCACCACTGGAGTATACTTAGACTCTGTTAACATTCTTCGAGATGACGGTGACTGATTTAATGGCTGTAAAACGTCTTTATCTATGTGGTTTTCATTCATTACAGGCACTGAAACTGGCGCTGGTAAACAAGGTGCATACGCTAATGAAGCTGAAAATGATTGTTTCTGTTCGCCTTCACCACTGGACAAACAATTGAGTGACGGTGGTGGTGGTAGTCGCATCGCATCTTCAGCTGCTTGACTACGTACACTGGAACACGCCATTGAGAAGCGGAAATCTCGAGCGATTTCTTCATGTAAACTATGCTGTTTAACGTTGAAAGAATGCAAGAACACATGCAGAATAAATAAGCACAGAACAAAGTGAATATTAAAAATTAGACCAAAAATAGAATAATTTAGTGATAGAAATGATTGCGTTAAAATTATCAGCACATAGCAGTAGAGCACTGTATGCAGTAGTGCTTTCATGACAAAGTATGACTACAGTGAATTGCAGCTACTAAAGCGATGAAGACTAATATAATGAGGAAGGATTAAACCTTAAAGTCATATTTTAGTCTACTGACCAATGAGTAACCACAGAAACTGATATCCTCCAATAGTTTATCATATGTGATCACTTTCTTTGTCTTAATATTTTATGTATGAGCACGTTATTCTATTAGAGTATAAAAACGTCTCTTGACTAACGATCTGGTCCTTGTATATCAGTTCACGAGAATGATGCATATATACAACTATAAATAATATATGACTGTCTCGAAATGATCATAAACTGAAGATTAATTTGACGAAAAATAAATAGAGAAAGCCTTTGTAAACTTGATACTGTTCCGTTTAAAATAACACCTGTGGATTACGGCCTATGCATTCAACTTTGTACATAGATAAATTGCATGTAGAAAGGCATCAAATACTAACCAGAAAACAAAACGATCAAATACATTTTTAACAACTAACCTTTTTGGTAGCTACACGACGATATGCATTACATACAAATTCCAATAACCCAACTAGCAATGAAACGACCATACCGATAAGTAACATAACAAAACAACCACCGACTTTTTCAACACCTAGTGAATTTGCATCAGAACTTTTTGTTGGAGATGTATCACATGGTTTTTCAATATCATGTTTTCTCCACCAATAAAACTTCAATTGTTCTAATACTTGTGATTTTTGTAATTTTAATATAGTTTCAGAGATGGGATCTCTGTATTTCGATCCTGTTAAATTGAAAAGGAAAAACAACAACGTAGAAGACTGATAAAGAGGATCACCATATAACATATAAAAAACACAAAGAACAATTAGACGATAAGTGAAGGTAGAATACCAGTTTCTATATAGATATATTTATATATATTAAAGAGGAAAATGTTTTTGTAATATCTTAGAGAACGAATTTGAAGTGAATCCAACGTTTCGCCTGGCAATCTGGTCAAGCATCAAAATTATCGAATATAAATAGTTAAATGGTTCTCCGGTGCACCGTATACTAACATTCCTTGAAAAGCTTGAACCAGATTGTCAAACGAAACGCTGAATTTACCACAAATTCATTCACTGAGATTTTACAAATACATTCTTCCTCTTTAATGTCTCACATCAACGCGGTGCCCAAATACTGTGGAACTATTCGATCACATTTAGACGACAGTTCTCATATATATATCTAACGGACTGAAAAATTCACAGGTATGACTCAATCAAGAATGTGACCTTCATATTGTCAATAACTTTATATTTTTATAATAGGGATTGAATGACAAATAAACCAACTGACGAGTACAGCAGAGAACATGTAAATACACAGAGATAATTAAGACATGCAATAACAGTACATTTGAATTAGACTAATCCTGAGTTTTTTTATTATGAGATATACATCAACAGTGTCAAAAGGAATTTCTTTATTTTGATGTAACTTTCATACTGGACCTAATGATAAACTACGTTTATTGTGATAAATAGAAATATTCTTTAACTATTCAGATTAACCGACTAAACTAATAAAATAATTTACCCGTAGTAAATGAAATAAAGTAGTCAACTGTGAATGTAATAAAAGGTATATTCAGGTACAAATTTGTATGGTGAAAACGGTGTGAAAATTTTACATTGGTCACTGAAGTAAACGAGAAGAACATATCATTCATCCTTGAATAGTTTCAGATTTAAAATATATTTAAATCATGATTTATTCAATGATATTACATCAGTTCCACTTCGATGTATAGCAAACTTCAATATTATGATATTTTAGTGAGATAGGTAACCAAAATAATGGTGATTCTCACGTAAGACACTACCAAAAAGCGAGACATTGTAGGTAAACAAATGCCAAGTATAATATTTTTGAATCAATAAACCATATTCTAATGATAACCTGGTTACTTAATAAGCACAAATTTGTTACTTAAATAATCAATTTATAGACACCCCTCTAATCTACGAGAAAATATTCGTTTGATGAGTTGATACCACTGGTAAAAGCCTATGAGTACTTAATACTCAGTGGCAGTCACTTAAGAATGAACAGTGTATATCTACAAGATTAGAGTGCATTTGTTAGTATTAGTTATTTTTAACCCATTATTTTTAAAATCATTCCAATGAATCTTTTTGAACAAGTCGCATAGATTTCAAGAATATGAAACAATCTATGAAATGTCTCAACATGATACGATTTTGGAATAATTAGAAGTAATTTTTAATAATGTAATCGAGATAAAACAAATATTTCATTACTGATTTAAGTCACGTAATAATTCACATATAAAACTAACTTTACCTTAATAAGTAAAAAATCTACAACTCAGTTATCTGTTTTGTCGTTGAAATCACAACCACACATAGTATTACTAAAAACTTTGAATAATGTATGAATAACCGTAGGGAACTTTTTAATAAATCATGTTTTCATGGAAAAATGTAGACGTCAAAAAAAATGTATATGTTCATATATAATGACTGTCTGGATCTTCCCATTGATGTTTAGGACTGAAATCGATCAGTCTCTTAAGGCTTATGTGCGGATTGCCTTGAATCTGCCAGAAAGACACAAGCATTTTAAGCAGAGATGGATGATGGCTAGCAGTGGAATCCAGGACGCACCAAATAAGATTAATCATATACAGTCCTAAACATTAAAAGAAAGATCCAACTATCTGCATATGTGAGTTAAAATTCACCGTACTGCATAAGCAAGTGGCTATCCAGACTCAGTAGCTAAGTGGATAGCGCGATGGCGCTTGAAGAGAACGGTAATGGGTTCGAGTCCTCTAGTGAATACCAACTCTGAGATACAGGTAGATCTAGGTGACAAGTCCCAAAAAGAACGGAATGAGTGTTCTGAATTCCACTGTTAGCCATTACCGGTCTCTGTTTGACATTAATTTATGTAGTTTGCATTAGTATTCATCTGCTGAGTACTATTCTGATTATGACTCATTTAGGTAGTGTTATAATCTCTTTCTTACGGTATAACCCAGCTATTCCTATTGCTTAGTATTCTTCGACACCGATTTACTCGACAAGACCCCAAATCAGAACACGGTTGAACAGGAAAGAGGTTATATTCCAAATAACAAGGTTAGATGGAAGCAAGATGCAAAGCCAGAAGCACAATAGGGAGAACGTCAGTATATTTATAGTTTTTACATAAGAAGATTCCAGAGTATTCTCCAACAATCGACTAGTGCTGATTGGATAAGAATTAGCCAATCAGCGTGCACCAAAGCAATCATGCATTGAGCATGCTTTAATCCAGTCTATGTCCCGCTAACACCTCGCCTTTGAGCAGATTCGTAGGATCTGGTGCTAGGGTCCAACTGCAACCGAGTGACTGGCCTGTGCTTTCGATTAGTCCATCGTCTGGGCAATAGAGAAGTATCACTCTTTTCTTGCATAGAAACTGACGTGTCTATTTCCGGCGTTTTGATTTCGAAGGTGTCTAGCAGAACATCAAGAGGTAATCGATATTGAATTTTGTTGCTGGCTATCGAAGTTGCTTTCAGTTGGTTAGCATGACGTACCCAAACTTCCGAGCCAACTGACACCTCGTAAACCACACTCCCCTTCTTTTTCAAGATCCGACCAGCTGTCCATGTAGGATGTTTCCCACGATAGTCCATAGCAAGTACTTTTTGTCCCACCGTGAACAATCGTCTTTGTGCCCCATGATGTCGATTGAACTGATTCTCCATCGATAGGTTTCTTTGTGGTTCAATAGCTGGCGTAGGACGGATGACATCGAAATGTGTTCGTATCTTTCTGCCAAGTAGAGCTTCTGCTGGAGAGACCCCGTTAATCGTCTGAGGGTTCGGTGTAGAGCGATAAATAAACAGGAACCTCTCTAAGATATCTTCAGTGGTCCCTTCCCCTTTAGATTATTTTAGAGCATTTTTAAATGTACTCACAAAGCGTTCCACTTGGCCATTTGACTGGGGATGGAATGGAGGTGTTCGGAGGTGCTGGATTCCGTTCTGCCGACAGAATTGTGAGAAGATTTCGGACGTAAACTGTGTTCCGTTGTCACTAACTATCGATTCTGGGATTCCGAAACGACTGAATAGTTGACGTAGTTTACTGACTGTGCAGCTTGCAGTCGGGTGTTTCATGAGAAAAATTTCTGGCCACTTGCTATATGCATCAACCACCAAAAGGTAAGTTTGTCCATGAAGTGGACCAGCAAAGTCCAAATGTATACGCTGCCACGGTAACTGTGGTATTGGCCATGATTGCAGCTCTGCTTTTCGTGGTGCTTTTGCTGCTAATGCACATTTGGTACACGAACGGGATAGCTGCTCCAGTTGGGTGTCTAAATGCGGCCAGTATACATAACTTCGTGCTAGTGCTTTCATGCGATTTATTCCAGGATGTCCTGCATGCAACTGTTCAAGCACTGCTGGTTGTAGCTTCTTGGGGATTATGACACGTTCGGCAAACAGCAGACAGTCATCGATGATTGAAAGAGAGAGTCTTCGCTGGTAAAACTGTTGAAGCTCTGTGGAACTGATTTTCGAGGGCCACCCTTCTAGGTGGAACTTTCTAACTTCTTGTAGTGTTGGGTCTCGAAGCGTTTCTTCCCTGACTTCATCTGACGACACTGGAGTGTTTCGAATGGCATCTGCCACTATACTTCGTATTTCTGGGTCTACTGCTGTGGAGGCAATGATTATATCCTCTGGTCCAGGATGTATGAACTCCAATTAATCGGGAGAGAGCGTCAGCTTGACCGATAGTATTTGTCGACTGATACTTGATATTAAAATCATAACTCAGGAGCATTGTCGCCCAGCGCTGTAGTCTATTAGCCGTATAGACAGGGATTCCTTTCTTAGAACCAAAGATTGCAATCAAAAGTTTGTGATCTGTCAGTAGAGTAAATGTACGACCATAGAGCATTTTATGAAATCTTTTGACAGCAAAAATGATTGCAAGAGCTTCCTTTTCAATTTGGCTGTAGTTTCGCTCGGCTGGAGTAAGTGATCTAGCAGCATGGGCGATTGTCTTTTCTGATTTATCCGGAAACACGTGAGATATCACTGCTCCAACTCCATGACTAGAGGCATCAGATGCAACAACAATTTCCAAGCTGGGATCGAAGTGCGTCAGAAGAATCTTTGAGCTGAGCATTGATTTGACTTTGTCAAAAGATGCTTGACATTCTGCTGACCACTGCCAAGGTTTATCTTTTGATAGTAATTCATTTAGGGGACCTCTCACTCGAAGCATTTCAGGCAAGAATGTGCTGTAATGACTGATTAACCCCAAGAAGGATCTCAATGAGGAAACATCAGTTGGTGCAGACATCTTCTGAATGGCTTCGATGTTGGTAGGGTCTGGTCGGCGACCGTTCTTATCTAAGATAAAACCAAGGTATTTGATCGAATGCATGAAGAAGATGCATTTTTCCTCACGTAGTTGGAAACCATACTCCAACACTCGGTTAAGGACTTGGTGTAGTCGATCAGAAAGTTCACTGTCAGTTGAACCCATAACTATGATATCATCGAGATAAGCTGCTGTACCAGGTATACCTGTTAGCATCGTATCCATTATTTGCTGAAAGATGGCGGGTGCGCTCTTGATGCCAAATGGTAGACGGGTGTATTGAAATAACCCTCGATGAGTGTTAATGGTCAGAAGCTCTCTACTGTCTTCATCTACTTCCACTTGGAGATAAGCATCGGAGAAGTCTATTTTCGCGAAGCATGTACCACCATTAAGCTTGGCAAACAGGTCTTCAGGAACTGGTAATGGATATTGATATACATCTAATGCAGCATTTTAACCGGTCGAGAAATCGGCACATATGCGTATAGTCCCATTGGCCTTCTTAATCACTACGATCGGTGCGGCCCATGCAGAGTAGTTAACTGGTCGGATTACACCAGCCTGTTGCAAGCGATTAAGTTCCTGGTCGACTAGCTCAAGAGCAGCATATGGTACAGGACGTCTCGGGCGAAAAATAGGTATAGCATCTGGTTTCACTGGTAAGTGCGCTTTCATCTTGGTACAGTGGCCAAGGCTATTCTGAAAAACAGAGGCAAACTTTCTTTTCAGTTTTTCTAGTAACGTTTCACCTATCTTCTTTGGAAGTACTGGAGTGTCCAATGATGAACACGATACGTTACAGACACTGTTAATTGGTATATCCATTATTCCAAGTTTGTCTAACATATCTAGACCAAGAAGATCAAGGTTCGGCCGTTCTGTTAGGTAACATATTCCTGTACAGTTAGTTCCATTGAAGGAAAATTCACACTGTAATTCACCAACCAGTTTTAGCACACCACCTGATGCGTTTTTAGCCGTTTTCTTAGATGGTTTCATTGGCGGTTTACCCAGCAAGTTATACGTTTCTCTAGACACTAACGTGATATCTGATGCCGTGTCAATTTGAAGACGAGCTGATATGCCGTTTATCTGGATGGTAACATACTTTCTTCGAATGTCATAGTTTGTTTGAAAGGCAGCTACCAGAGAAAGAGATTTAGACTCGGCTGATTTCACAAGTCGAGGACGTTTATGCTTCTTCTTAGGCTGAGACGTACGCTTCGGTGGACAATGACCTTCTTTATGTCCACGTTTGTTGCACGCCTGACATTTATGCTTCTTGAATGGACAGAAACGTGCATAATGCCAATCACCGCATAACCAGCATGCAGTCCTTGGTTTGTTACGAGTTGTTACCGGCTTCTGAACTTTTAACCTAGTAATAGTATTTACACTACCGCAGGTTAAATTAGGATTTACCTGTTCAATCAACTGGTTGTCGTGTCTGATGCTTTGTAGACGCTTACACTCATCTGTCAATGTTCTGAGTGTGACGTTTGGGTCTTGATCCAGCCGAGCTAAAAGTCTAGTCCTGACTTCAGCATCTTGTGGTGACTGAAGAGCTTTGATGAATATTAAGCATTTAAATTGGTCATCAGTCAACGAGTGTAACTTGAAACGTTCACATTCTCTGTTGACGATGTCTGCTAGAACACCATATTCATCAGCTTCGCGTTTCACCAAATTTAGACACCGATATCGAATACTAAACAACGAGGATGACTCGCCGAATATCTCTGACAACTGAAATACCGTCTCCTCGAAACTGAGCTCTCGAGGTACCTTTGGCAATATATGGTCAGCAAAACGTGCATGTTCATTGCTTCCCAACTGACGTACCAACAATCGGGTCTTCCACACATCGTCTTGGTTACAGAATTCTGTTCTAAATGTATCTTCCCAACGTTTGAACCACGTGAGGAAAGTATTTCCAATTTCGGGATCATAGATGAATTCTGGGATGCTGCTAGCAACTGCATCACAAGACGTACTTGAAATAGCATGTGAACTCGAGCTGTGGATACTGAGCTGTTGAGTCAGAGTCTCCAACAACCGCATTTGTGCATCAAGTTGTGCTTGCTGTTGTTGTAGTATTCGGTTAAGCTGGTCATCTGATATGTGCATCTTGAATTTGTTTTCTTTTTTTTCCGTCGCCACTGTTATAATCTCTTTCTTACGGTATAACCCAGCTATTCCTATTGCTTAGTATTCTTCGACACCGATTTACTCGACAAGACCCCAAATCAGAACACGGTTGAACAGGAAAGAGGTTATATTCCAAATAACAAGGTTAGATGGAAGCAAGATGCAAAGCCAGAAGCACAATAGGGAGAACGTCAGTATATTTATAGTTTTTACATAAGAAGATTCCAGAGTATTCTCCAACAATCGACTAGTGCTGATTGGATAAGAATTAGCCAATCAGCGTGCACCAAAGCAATCATGCATTGAGCATGCTTTAATCCAGTCTATGTCCCGCTAACAGTTAGCTAGAAATTAAAAAATTCACATTCTTCCTTGAAACTTAGTTAATCATAATAAAAGTAATCCGATCTTTTAATTGTTAATATTTATAGAATAATGTACTTATAATTTGGTTAAAATATGTCCATTATTTTACTATACTGCATGAGTTCTGTGAAATAATATACAACGTAATATGAATTCTAGTTTAAAATCTCGACGCTCGATTTATAATACTGTACAGAATGGTGTATTTAAGACATATGAAAAACATTAGGTCAAATGAATATTTATTTAAGTTGTTAAGAACAGTATCCACTGAAAATGATGTGATATACAATTATGTTTCATTAAAATAATCTCGGGATAATACACTGATTCAATCTAAGTTCTATTTAAAAGAATAACGTTATTATGCAGCCCCTGAATTAACCCTGACCTTCTAATCATATTCAAAACTTTCGGGATCAAACCTTTCCCAACATTGATATTGTTTTATTGAAATAGGTTTTTCATTTAATATTATACATTTGGACGTAGATACTCAACTTTATAAACGATGACAGAAAAAATCATACAATCTTCTCACCTTCTGGTAAACCAATACCATAACCTTTGGAATCTAGGAGTCCACCAACTTGCATTAATTCACAGTCACGTTGAGTATAATATTCATTCATTGTTGATTCAAGTAAGAAAGCGTATTCTTCTCGTTTGACACGTTTGATTGCCTCCACTGTATTATTCATTAATAAACCTTTTTGTGAACTCATAAATTGCCACATACGTTTATAAGTGGAAAAATTTGACTCCTATAAATTGAAATACATGAAATACTTCATAAATAGAGAAAGATAATATGCACATTAAAAAGAAAACAGTCTACTCACAGTTTATAAAAAATAGAAATAGGTGAATCAGTTTGTACAGTTCATGGAATCCGCTCATAATGATTCATCGCTAATTCCATGACAAATCTCATCAACTGATGAAACACAGAAATCAGAATGAAATTTTAATCTTGTTATTGTAAAAATGAATTACTTATTTTCAAATCTTGTTATAACCCACTTTATATGTTAAACAACTAAATTACTCTCAAATATTCAGCCAGTACATCGTAATATTTGATTAAGTTTATATGATCTTAAAGTAGAGATTAGCAAATTTTCATAAAACCAAAATTAAACTTTTAGGTTTCTAGTTTTCGCTCCTTTTTTACAACTGGTGTTTTTACAACCCTAGACATACTTTCTTTATATAAACTACGGAATCATGATTGCTAGCTTAGTTTTATGAATATAAAGTTATTTTTCTATGAAATTCTGCTTTTAGGTGATATATTAGATTTTGATGATAGATAGTTGTCAAGTGCTCACTACATGCATCAAAGAACCGATTTAGTCCATCAGAATGCAAAACAAAAACAAAAAATACATTTTTAAGATAATTAATGAGTTATGTTATTAAATTTATTCTTAAAATATAATCTTATTCGGAAACTCTCTTGACAATTGTCCTTAAAAAGTGACTTCAAAACAATACAGTGCTGTAATGGAGAAGATATGGAGCTCAAGTAAATGCTTTTGAATTTAATGAATTCTCTCAGATAGTTTACTTGAGGAGTTTTGATTGTCGTTCTGAACAACATCAATTCCTAGTTCATGTAAAAGTGAGCTTCATAATTGTTACACGAGCGTTAAACCAGTTCAGTTTAGTGGACATTTTAATTTACGTTATCTCTATTCACCCTTGAATATAATGTTACTAAGAACGAGAATGAAAGTTAAATATGACTATAGGACATATAATATTAAATATGAGGATGCAGATTTTGCACACTAGTTCACTGGATAGATACCTTAATTTTACTTCTATCTTCACACTAATAAGTTTCAAATTAAAAAAACGCGTATCCTACATTTTATTTATATGGAATAGATCATATGTGTAACAGCGTTTTTAGGATTTATCTTGTTTTCTGAAATGAAAAAACATTATTTTACATTTATATATGCTATCAACATTCAATTATACAAATTTATCTCCACAAAATATGCAATCTTGAAATTTTCTGTACAGTTGACTTTACTAGAGAAAATAATAATAATAATACCGTTGACAAACCTCAAAAAACGCTGTTGTTGAACCACCTTGTATTGAACCATATTTAATTTTTGTCTGTTTTGCTAAATCTTCAGCATTTTCAATTGGAGCAACCATACGTGCAACTGTTAGAAAAGCAGCTAAATTAGCTGTATATGATGAGATGACAATAAGTGTAAAAAACCACCAAAAGCCAGCAATAATACGAGTAGATGTAGCATGAGGTAAAATATCTGAGCCTTTAAATTTATAAAAAAAAGAAAATGGGGAATTTTAAGATCATCTCAATAATTTGGTAACTTTGTTTATAAAACAGAACGTGGTTTTCATACATTATTTTCAAGTCATTTCTTCTTCACATATTAATACTCGATGGCTGAATGAAGAAACCCAATATTTAAGTAAATCAGTCACACGAAAGTGTGAGAGGAGGTCATTTTTCACGCATAACGATATTGAGGTAAATGGAGAGGGGTTTGAACCTTCAATCCCGTGCATAAGATTTTAGTCCTTTAACCACTAAGTTATTAATTGGTGATAATCAACACATATACTGCACATCAAAATGTAACTTAAATGACCTTGATCCTATTCGAGCATTACGCATAGTCATATATGTAATTGCTTATGAAACCAAGACGTTATAAAATCAGTCAATTAACGTTAAATATGGCTTCAGTAAGAAAGTAACACTAAATAAACGTTGAATAAGAATGACAGTGCTAGTTACTTTATAAAATGCAAATACGCTAGTAAAAATGTCTCTGGAATATATTCCATTTAGAATCTTGTAAAAGCATAGCCATTAACTGTTTATTTGGCTTAAATGATTGACTATTATGTCGATGTACTACATAAAAATTAGATTCAAATGTTGACATTTCCCTCCAGCACTTAATATGAACAAAACTCACATTTCCATCAAAACAATAACAAAAACTCCTGTGTACATTACAAACTTTCCCACTTTGAGGGATTGATCTGGTGAGTCTGATATATATATATATATATATATATATATATATATATATATATATATATATATATATATATATATATATACGACTAGATCACCAAATACCTAGACTGAATATTATAAACCTCTTACCCCTTCCTTCCTTCATTTTTATTTATTTTCCTAATTATCATTATTTGTCATTATCTATATCTTAATCTTCATATCCATCATTCCCAATTTGTTGACCGTAATTACCTTGATAACACCCCCCTTATTACATATTATATTTACACAACAATATTATTATTATTATCTCAGTTGACAAAATTATTTTCAATTTTGCAATAGTACTATTACATTATCTTATTGTGACTGAACAGTTTACTGACCTTTATTGAATGACCTTTCTAATTTGCAAATATTACAATTTTTGAAGTATATATATATCGTAACAGATGCAAACGTTTACCATTTTTAACACATAACATTGTCAAACTCATTAAAACATGCCTTATTTTTGGCCTTTGTAAAATATTATAATTATGGACTTATAACTGTAGAGCCTGATGATGAAGTTATTGAAAACAATTGTTCGCTCAAATATTCTTCATTTTTGAATATATATATATATATATATATATATATATATATATATATATATCCATAGTAGTTATCAAATTAATTGAATCAATAAACGCTTTTATAAACTAGGATGATTACTATCTATAAACGTTGACCTTTTCCCGTTGTTTACACTCAATAATTTACTTTACATCAATGTCTACCGACGATAATATTATCTAACTTACGACTACAGGCAAAATTATGTCATTTACCCATGGTGCACCTAATCTAGAATTATAATAGTGAGATTATTTTTAGACAGTTATAGTGGCTCATTTTATTATTTATACTAGTCATCATAAAAGTGTAAACTAACTACAAAAATAGTGTTATTGCTCTTTAGGTTAGGGTATTCGATAGACAATAGTCTGAAGGTCATTATCTTTCACAGTTACAACATAGTGAAACTGTCTTTATTGGGATAGTATCAAAATTATGTATTTAGGGAAAACCATGGTAAATGTATAGATTTGGATTGAGAAGTGTAGGGAAAATCCACTTACGTTGACAATGATACTACCAATTTATCCACAAATTGAACCACTTTATAGAAGATTTATGTATTGTATAATACAAATCGTTTACATAATCATGTTTTTATTATGTCGGTACTTAATATAAAAATGAATGAAAAGATGATTCAATATGAATCAAATTTACTGAAATTTCGAGGGAGGATAAACTTCCCAAATTTTAGCTATCCGACAACTGATTAGTACGGAAATTGATATAAATAGTACGACTGCTTGAAAATTATAAGTTATTTCTAAATGTTTACCGGCATCTACTAGCAAAATTCATGATTTCTCAATGTTTTTTCTTCGTATTTTGATTGAAAACTGTCGTATTAAAAAGTTTATTTAAGGGTATATATGAATGAATACTAGGACTGAAAAGCTCGAATCAAATAAAGAATGAATGCACCCACACCACAACGAGCTGTTCTGATACATGTCACCCAACATTTTCAACTAATGAGTATGGTTATCATGCCGATCCTAGGCAGGTAGTGTATGTTCAATTAATTAGTTAGTCAGCTACTCAAATAACAGGAATTAATCTAAGTAAGTAGTTTTGGGTTCTTTTTACGTGTAAATACTGATGGAAACAACTATCCAAATAAATCGAAGTAGATATAACTAGGTTGGAACTTTCAACTCTGTGCTGAATTATATGAATCTTCACAACTTTTAATCAAAACTGGTTCTCATAGAGAGTAGAATATTTGACACGACACTAAGTATCCATTTTTCAACAGTTCGTCTCTCATTTCTCATTGATCAATCCAGAAAACAGTCAATGTTATTGCGGAAAGCTGTAACTATTAGAAGTGTAAATGAGAAATCAAATTGGCTGGATGATAATCAGTGGCAAAATAGAACTGAAAAAGTTTTTAAAGTAAGTACTATTCATATACATATTATTTATTCTTCTTATTAATATCTACTTAACTAAGTTATATTACAGTTGTATTCAATGTTTCTTTGAAAACAATGTAGAATTATTCATCTGTTCACAGGAAAAAGAAAATCGAATCGCATTTTACAAATCAGAACAAAACTGACATTTTTATTATGGAATACATTAACAATATCACTAACCTTTTTGCATTAATGAACCAAATGTAAACCAAAGACTATTGGATACGTTGAAATTATTTTCGACAACATCAGAATCCACAATACACGGATGTTTTACTTTCCATTCATAAGGACTAAATCTGGCCACAACAAATAACACTAAGCTAACCATGATAAGTGCAGCTAAAATATAACCCCATACCTAGTTCAAATTATTAAATACAATGTAAAATTAAGGTTGTATTCACTAGAACAGTCTTAATTCATATGTGAAGATAAATAGATGTTTGATTATCAACGATTTATTCCCAATAATACTAATCAATAGCACGAGGTCGGTCCTCTTCAGGTACATAGATTAGATAGAAAACTATTGATAATCATTAATATGGTGATTTGTGGAGACCGTAGCATTTTCATAGTTGAATTCACGAGTCAATCTGAGCTACATCATCATTGTAAACTTGGAAGCACTGGATGGTTATTGAATAGCTGCTTCATTATAGTTTGAAACTATTTAACAAGACTATCTGGTAATTTAAGCTAAAGATTTTAGATTTGTTAATAGGTGCCATGATCATAATTATTGAATCACATAATTTTGGGAATTTGAAATAAACTACAACCATTTATAAAATGACATTATCGAATACTTAGCTTTATTTATGTGACACGTGAAAGTCAACAGACGGTATTGTATTGTGTTATATAAATTTGATATTTAAAATATCTTATAAGTCCTAAAACCTTATAGAATATCCTTCTCCAAATGGTTCAGATTATTTAAGTGTTCTTTATTTTCCAGTAGTAATTTACCTATGACAGAACTTATTTCCTTAGTAATGTAATAATACTTTCATAACTTACATGAACAGCTAATACGTATTACTTCCAAACATATTGAAACTAAGTTTCATTAAATGATCAATTAGTCGTAAAAGAACACATTTGAATTATATAAGGCAAAAAGCAAATCTTTAAACTTGGTATATTTTTAAAAAAGACTTTCAGTTAAAACTTACTGGTGGCGACAAGGGTGTTAAGAAAGAAAATAAATGTGACTCTTTATCTTCGGGACGTTTATAAATAATACTAATGCCCAAGTACATAAATGGTGTTGTAAAATCAATAACACGTTCACGGTCATATGTAATTGTAAATGATCCAACAGCTAAATCTGCACGCTAAACGAAAACATTAATGATTACAAATAATGTAGTTATGACAATATGGCAGAAAACAATTTTACATAAATTACTTGGTTAATTGATGAAAATATATATGATATTAAGTAATTCAAGACTATCCACAGGAAGTGCTTAACTTAAGTTTATGCCAGTTAACTCTAAACAATACTTGTAAATTTTACGAAGCAAATATTTCATAAGGTATTCGTTAAACCGCTTCTCTCACTGGAATAGTCAAAGACGTTATCACTAAATATTTTGGACTGAGTTCAACAATAAGTACAGTGATGTTGAAACACTAAACTCAGTGCTCATTATATTTCACTGGAATTAAGAATCAGTACACAAGTTATTGGTTTATACCAAGTAACTAAGCTTTGTATGGTAGACTTGAAGTCATAGCTAACATTTTATGGAGTGTCATATTTCGCAAGTAGCAACAAAAACGCGAACCACAAAGTTCGGTAACTCTCAATTGGACTGTTAGGTGGAGTATGTAATACTCCTCTAAAGGTGTTTATAAGTACTCTGACGAATATAAATGACCAACAGATTGTTTTGATGAACATATAAATTAGGTTGCGTGGTGCTATCAGACATAACGTGCGAAATAATTAAGTTATTATTAAACAACACTGATTTTTCGATAGACAGAAAATTTTAGTCCAAGAATATATCTTTTTTAATCTTTAATAAGTAGTTATGACAACTCCGCCTGTAGCTCTTATAGGGTTACTGCCGGTCCCAAGCCCGGGTAAAGGAGGAGGGTTGGGCATGGGGTTAGCGTCCCCATCCCGTAGAAAACTAACTCGCTAAAAAAACGCTTACCAGAAAAAAATAATCCAAACCATTTAAACTCTGCCCTGGGAGTAAGAAGGTCTTCATTTAGAAGAATTATGACGCTTCATGGTGAAAGCCAAGTTCCTTCGGAAGCCACGAGGCCGATGCCCCTTCTGACAACCAGAGCAAAAATTTTTATAGATACATGGAACGTTCGAACAATGTGGGAAACCGGGAAAACCAGTCAAATAGCAATGGAAATGAGGAGATACAACTTAGCCGTACTGGGAATCAGCGAAACCCACTGGACCCAAGCTGGACAGAAAAGGCTAGCTACGGGAGAGATGCTGCTATACTCCGGTCACGAAGAGGACAGTGCTCCACACACTCAGGGAGTCGCTCTTATGTTGTCTAAAGTAGCACAAAATGCACTTGTAGGATGGGAATCTCACGGATCCAGAATCATCACAACATCGTTCAAAACAAAGAAGGAGGGGATCACAATGAATATTATCCAATGTTATGCACCCACCAATGATAGCAACGACGACATTAAAGATCAGTTCTACGAGCGGCTGCAGTCAGTCATTGAGAAATGCCCAAGAAAGAACCTAACTATTCTGATAGGAGATCTAAATGCCAAAGTCGGAATAGACAACACTGGATATGAAGATATTATGGGACGACATGAACTGGGAGAAAGAAACGAAAATGGAGAAAGATTTGCAAATCTATGTGCATTCAACAAATTGGTCATAGGAGGCACAATATTTCCACACAAGCGTATACACATGGCTACATGGATCTCACCGAACCACACTACAGAGAACCAAATAGATCATATTTGCATCAACAAAAAATTCCGAAGGACAATGGAAGATGTGAGAATCAGGAGAGGCGCTGACGTAGCTTCAGATCACCACCTAGTTGTGGCCAATTTAAAACTGAAGCTAAAGAAAAGCTGGACAACTGGACAAACAGTACTATAAAGGTTCAATACAGCCTTCCTTCGAGATACTGACAAACTCAATGAATTCAAGATAGCTCTCAACAACAGGTTACAAACCTTACAAGATCTACTGAAAGAAGAAGAAACTAGTATGGAGGACAACTGGAAAGGCATCAAGGAAGCATTAACTTCAACGTGTCAAGAGGTTCTGGGTCTAAAGAAATACCATCATAAGGAATGCATCTCTACAGAAACACTGGACAAGATCAAAGAAAGGAAGAACAAGAAGGCAGCAATAAACAACAGCCGAACACGAGCAGAGAAAGTCCAAGCACAAGCTGAATACATAGAAGCAAACAAACAAGTGAAGAGGGGCATTAGAGCCGACAAGAAGAAATACGTGGAAGAACTAGCAACGACGGCAGAAAAAGCTGCTAGAGAAGGAAATATGAAACAGCTTTACGATACAACGAAGAAACTAGCAGGGAAATACAGTAAACCAGACAGACCGGTCAAAGACAAAGAAGGCAAGCCAATCACCGAAATTCAACAACAGCGGAACAGATGGGTAGAATACTTCGAGGAACTCCTGAATAGGCCGGCTCCAATGAATCCACCGGACATCGAAGCGGCACACACAGATCTTCCCATAGACGTCAACCCACCAACGGAGGAAGAAATCAGAATGGCCGTCAGGCAAATCAAGAACGGGAAAGCAGCGGGTCCGGACAACATACCAGCGGAAGTACTGAAGTCAGACATCGAAGCAACTACAAACATGCTTTACCTTCTATTCAAAAAGATTTGGGAGGAGGAATAATTGCCGATGGACTGGAAAGAAGGACACCTCGTCAAGATTCCAAAGAAAGGAGATCTGAGCAAAAGTGAAAACTATAGAGGCATTACACTGCTGTCAATACCAGGGAAGGTCTTCAACAGAGTGTTGCTGAACCGGATGAAAGATGCAGTAGACGCCCAACTTCCAGATCAACAAGCTGAATTCCGTAAGGATCGATCATGCATAGACCAAATTGCAACACTACGGATCATCGTCGAAGAATCAGTTGAGTGGAACTCATCACTATACATCAACTTCATTGATTATGAAAAGGCATTTGACAGTGTGGATAGGAGGATATTATGGAAACTTCTTCGACACTACGGAGTTCCTGAGAAGATTGTCAACATTATCCGGAACTCATACGACGGACTACAGTGCAAAGTCGTGCATGGAGGACAGCTGACAGATGCATTCCAAGTAAGGACCGGAGTAAGACGAGGCTGTTTACTCTCTCCCTTCCTCTTTCTTCTGGTGGTCGATTGGATTATGAAGACCTCGACATCTGAAGGAAAACACGGAATTCAATGGACAGTTCGAAATCAATTAGACGATTTGGACTTCGCAGATGACCTAGCCCTCCTATCACGTACACACGAACAGATGCAGATGAAGACAGCCAGTGTAGCAGCAGTCTCTGCATCAGTAGGCTTCAGCATACACAAAGGGAAAACCAAAGTCCTCAAATTCAAAGCGGAAAACAACAATCCAATCACTCTTGATGACGAAACTCTGGAAAATGTAGAGTCCTTCACATACCTAGGAAGTATCATTGATCAAAAAGGAGGCTCAGACGCAGACGTAAAGGCAAGGATTGGCAAAGCAAGGACAGCATTTCTACAGTTAAAGAACATATGGAACTCAAAACAACTTTCAACCAATATCAAAGTGAGAATCTTCAATACCAACGTCAAGGCAGTTCTACTGTATGGAGCTGAAACTTGGAGAACTACGACAACCACCATCAAGAAGGTACAAGTATTCATAAATAGCTGTCTACGCAAGATACTCAACATCCATTGACCGGATACCATCAGCAATAGCCTTCTGTGGGAGAGAACAAACCAACTTCCAGCTGAAGAAGAAATTAGGAAAAGACGATGGAAATGGATAAGACATACATTACGCAAATCGTCAAACTGCATCACGAGGCAAGCCCTAACTTGGAATCCTGAAGGGAAGCAAAAAAGAGGAAGGCCAAAGAACACATTGCGTCGGATAATAGAAGCACATATGAAAACGATGAATTACAACTGGACGGAGCTAGAAAGGATTGCCCAGGACAGGGTTGGATGGAGAATGCTGGTGAGCGGTCTATGCTCCTTCACGAGGAGTAACAGGCGTAAGTAAGTATGACGTGTAAATTGTCAAATCGATGTTTCATACCTGACCTTCAACTCAGATTAAAGCAAGACAAACTTGAAAAATTAAATGTTCACTGATCATCTAATAATGAGGTGACTATTTTAAAGTTTAAATACATGCACAATATGTATTCATATGCATATTTATTAAAGTCTTACACGAGTTCGTAACTCTTGTACCATTCCATCCCATGTTTCTACTCCATCTACAATTTTCATATTGCCATATGTTGAATCTGGTACTAAATTAATTGTATAAGTGAACTGTAAATCTTCACTGATGTAATTTAATAAACTGATACAAAATCCTTCCCAGTCCTTAGGATCTGTTGATTTCGGCTGGCCAGGTAGTGTTTTGCCTTTGTACATCATATAAGGTTTTTCCTATTATAATAAAAACAAATTCATATCGATCAGTAACAACAACAGAATTAAGTAGTGAAACAATGAAAATAGGTTACACTAAATGAAAATTATCTTTAATCTACTTTTAAATATGCAAGTAAAACTATCGAAATTTTCATGAAAAGACATTTGGTTTTGTGACAAAGTAGAACTAGCTAGAGAGCAACTGAAAATCTAGGATGCCTGGTCAGCTATTCGGTCCTGGTTTCGGATGGGTTAAGAGCGAACAAATAGGCCTGAATGAAATCAAGCCGATAATCCTCTGATCTGCTAATCAGTATGATCCTTTTAATCTTGTTGGTCTGTAAACAGGATTCAGTTTACTACATGCACATTTATTTTACTGGTTTTCGAGTGCATATTCGTCTGTTGTGGCCTGGTCCTACGTTGTAGCTGACTGACTGACTGACTGTTGTGGCTTAGATATCCCTTACGCGAATAGTACAGTATTGCTGATTTGACAAATTTATCATATATATCAATAATAGCTAACTGTGAAGTCAAAAGCCTGATGTTCATCAAATTCATGTTTCAACAATTGGAGCATCAATACTTGGATTCAAATACATTCGTCGATGCAATTCAAATAAATATATATGCTGTAGATTCAATTACTAACCATTATTTAAAACATATTATTATGATTACGGAAAAACCAACTGATCAGGTGATAAACAACTGTCTTCATAAAAAATATAAATTTTAAAAATAAACTTACTTCTTGAGTAGTTATTCGTAAAACCTTTCCTTTCAATTCTGATTGATATTCTTGTTTAGTCAGGCTGAAATTTTTGGTAACCACCAATCCTTTGTCCATGTTCCAGTAGCCGTACTGTTTAGCATAAAAAATAAATTGAATAAGCACATAACGGACATTATACATAATACAGAGAATCACTGAAAACTGTGGTTAGTTGCTTACATCATATAAATAAAAGCATGCTGCACAATGTGAAACAAGAACTGCGAATTGATCATTTCACTTTTTCTAACCAAGTAAGTTTTTGAGATTACTTAATGAAACTTGACAATTTTACAAGTTATACTAAACGTTATTATGTTTATCAGTAGTGATTTTGATGTTTACAGATCATATTGTATTATAAACTTACTAGATTGTTTAAAATTTACGCTTACGCACTACTAACTGAAGCCTATTTCTTTCATTTTTAAACTCAAGAACACATCCCACACTCTCATCGAGCTTTGTATTGCTACAACAACACATCTTCGGACTAAGCACAAACATATCTATAGTTCGACGTTGTTAAAACTTCTAAACATGATTTGAATATCATACTTACCACAGTCATCTCAACAAACATGATGTTAGTAGTAAGGCTCTAACAACTCTAATTAAGACTTAGGGTTTTGGAGAAAAGGTTATCGTTTTTAAAAAAACAACCAAAAGACCACTTTATCTTTAAGTAGGGAAGTGGATAGGACACACATTGATGAAAGCACCCAACTGCGTCACAAGGCAAGCCCTCACAATGAATCCCCAAGGCCAAAGGAAAAGAGGAAGACCAAAGAACACATTACACCGGGAAAGGGAGATGGACATGAGAAAAATGAACAAGAATTGGATGGAATTAGAATAGAAGGCCCAGGACAGAGTGGGTTGGAGAATGCTGGTCGGCGGCCTATGTCCCATTAGGAGTAACAGGCGTAAGTAAGTAAGTAAATTGTTCCAAAATCAGTTCTGTACATGTTTGTAGATCCACACAGCTGATATGATTCAAACTAGTACAAAACAGATGTTGATTGTCTCTTGATTTATGAAAATTCTGAAACTTATATCAGTTCGCATATATACGACACATCCCTATTAAACATAAGCCTTGACTATAGTGAAACCAAACAATCAAATATCAATGAGGTTCTCATACTGCAACAATGAAATTATGAATTCAGATTATTATTACTATTAAGTTCATACATGACATTACAAAATCACGCCTTATTTGCTTCATTTCACATGATCATTAAAACAGTTTATATAGTCAAACTAAACAAAAATTTATGAACCTATCATTCAACTCTATAATTCGTTTCAAAAAGCTTATATCCTAAGACATATGAACCTGATCACATTAACTTGTCACCATAAAAATATTAAAACAATCATATTTCATTATTTTCAAATGGCCTCAGAACCACAGTAAGTCACGCACATTTAAAAATAAAACACATATTAGTAATATCGATATTATCTTTCTGTTCACTAATACCAGTTACTTCCTTACGCATGTTACCTCTCGTGGAGGAGCATACGCCGCCCACCAGCATTCTCACTAATACTATGCTTATTTTCTATTAGGATAACTGCAAACAAATAAGTTGAGTGATGAATCTGTCAAAGTTAGTTAAAGATTATAAACGCCAATTAAACAGGATTATATATAAATGGGCGTGTTTGCTTTTTGTAGGAATATTCTCACTGACATTTTAATGAGATTAAAGCATAAATTTTACTTATCGTAACATTCATGTTTATGTCAGCTTACGTGAATGATCAACAATTTACTGCTTCGAAAATCACACTGATTTTTGTTGTTATTCTTTTCCACAAGTTACACAATTAATTTTATCAATTAATTCCTGATACAGTAATTTCTCTATATATTCAACAATTTTTATAGTCAAAGTCGTTCATAAACTTAAACAGTAGAAATTTATTTTAACCATTGTCATGTAAAGTGTTTTCTGGTGTATAATTAAACATTACCATTAAAATCATCAAGAACATTCTTATTATTTTATTACTTATTTCAACACATAGATAATGGTACAAAGAGGCACCAAATACATATGCGCCACACAAATCTCATTCGATATGTGTGAGGGCTGTGATACTGCCCGGGTGCCCAAACCGAAGCAGGATCAGAGCGGCTTATTGATATTTCCATATTTCCTGTTTTATATATGTAGTGGAAAATAATCTACACTGTAATACTTATTTCACACATCGAATTCACTAGCAATTATGAATAGTCAGTAAAAGAATTGATTCGCATACCTCTTGAAAACCATTTCGACTTAATTCCAAAATGATCAAATGAGCATTAGAACGCCATCCATGTCCATCGAATTGAAATGGTCCAGTAAGGCCACGAAAACTAGTTGGATGAACCTTGATTGATTTTATATTAGAGAAATGAGACAAAGAGCATTAATCAAATAGTATTTTTATTAAGAATCAATAAACACAATTAGTTGTAAAAGGGTTTTTACATTAAATTAATCTAATCCAGTCTACATTTAGTGACACAAGTAATTAGTAATCTTATGATCAATAAAAACTGAACTCTTTTGCAACAACAATGGAGTTGTGTTTACAAATATACATTAGAAATAGATGAATTTCCTCAGTAATTTCTAGTACGCAGTAAGTAATGTAGAAGGGAGAAATAATATTGTCTAAGATATAAAATATTTGTTTAACAAAAAACGTTATCGACCAAACTTTGTTTATTTTATCACTAATTCATCTGGAACAAATGAACTACGTTGTCGTCAACAAAGATAGTAATGTAAGATTTGCCATATAATTATTCATTTACTGATTAATGATTCATCAACATCACGACTACACACAACCATTGTATATTTACGCATTTTGGTGGTTTGATCAACATCAGTAAAGCAATCCGAATAATTAAGCGTTTCAAATACAGTAGATTCGAGATATTTTAGAAAAACTGAGTGAAACTAGTTTGACTTCTAGCCTGAAACCAAAGTAGGAATGAGCCCAAAAGTTGTGAATGGAGCTAAACATGATTGAATTTCTTAAACAAACAATAAACTTGTGATTAACATTATTTGAAACATGCTATCATCACTAGTATTTTAGATAAGATTTTAATCTTTAAAACTTTCTAGAAAATATTTGCTGAAAGGGTTTCACAAAGTGACCTAATTCTGTTAACATTTCAATGAATTTTGTGCTCATTATAGTGCATTTAATAAACCTTGATAGTTTATATGAGACGCGGCTCTTTTAAGTATAGAATAAACTAACAAATAAATGGTTTCATGTGCTTGTTTAATAATAGAATCCAGGATCAGGGTTTCATCCTATGGAAGATTCGTCAGGTGAATGTATCTGGATCCTAATGTTATTCTTGACATTGGCAATCAACTCAAAATTCAGTCCCGACAAACAAAAACGCAACAATATATATCCTTACTAATAATGATATAAACGAACAAATGGTTTCTTCCGACTGATAATTTTGGTCATTTAAAATATGGTAGCTTGAACTGACATTTATATCAGAACTGTTTAATGACTAACAGTAACTTGTAGTTTGGGGTCTGAATTCACCCATATGTCAGTAGTTTTTATAACCTTGATTATTTCGTGATGTCTTTTTTTCTATAATCAAACGACTATGCATCCTCATTATTTGACTTTAAGGCTGCATCAAATTGATCTCTAATTACAAGACAATCATGAAACGCGATAGCAGTATTTAAAAAAAATATGGTATTCTCGTAACTGACATAAAGCTATAAGTATGCAGTATGATGAAAACTAAGAACTGTTTGACCTATATTTTGAGTCAACAAAAGCAAATTAAACCCACATAAAACCGTATCATATATCAAAGATTTTTAAAATTTATTAATCATTTCTGTTAAATGTACATCTCTGCTGAGAAACAGCAAGTAATTTTTTTCAATCCATTTGTATAATTGATTTTTCCCTACGTCAAAACTTGTTGATTCAGTTAAACTGATCAACAATGTGTTTCGATATTCTTGAGGCAACTAAACAATGTAACATTATATCCCATGGGATAGTTATGTCCTCAATTCTAAGAAAACAGACTAATCATAATTAGCAATCTCTAGAGTGTTGTTTTCCCTCTTTCATTTGTTAATAAATACTACTTGACCGAATTAATCATAGTTGCATATTTGTAAGAATATATGTGTTATTATTTAAAGTCTTCTATTCCTCGCATTCATAAAAATAGGTCTTTTTATGCTATACATTTTTACTACCAAGTTTTCACAGAATTAACATAAATATCGCTTTTAAAAGAGTAATACTTCAATGATCATTGGAATTCCTACTTTTCAATTGTTCAAATTTAATGGCCGAATTCTTTTATTAGGTCAGTTATGGACTACATGATAGAGAAAATTGTATTACAGAATTGTGGGTCACTGTTTTATTAACTTTCTATACAGTTTTCTTTTTAATATAGTATGCACACTATGAAGGATGAAGGCTCTGAGTTTAATTACAGATAGAATCGTTATGTTTTGTTGTAGATTTTACTTAAAGGATAAATCACAACACAACACTTCTTAGTCTCTCTTAATCTTCAATTATTGTTAATTCATGATAAAATATGACATCACACTGAATGACGTGTTCGAACTTGTTTTTCTAATTAACGGATTACAAGTTACTGTTTTCTCAACAACAAAAAGGCTCGTGAAATTAATGTACAGTATTAAAGTATGGTAATAAAGTTCTTTAATAGTATTTATGTTATTATTATTTAAATAAACGCAAAATGAGTATTGATCATGAAACACCTACGTACAGCTTTTATATCATTGATCAATGTTAATCCTGGATTCCACACTCGATTAACGGAACATGAGAGACCAACTGGTGGTAGAATATTTGTTGACCGGGAGGATGACAAAACACCCATTGCTAATAAACTTAAACCATCATACAAAAGTGCAGAATGTGTCTATAAAGACAATAGTTAAGAATTTTTTTAGTTAAATTGTTATTATACCTAAAATATAATATTATGAGATATTAATGATTAGAACAAATTCCCTTATTCACAATCTTTAAAAATCTGTCATAAAGCCTCAAGATGTTTAGGTAACGTTTCGATCAACAATTCAATTATGAAAATACATTTGGAGTTTAAACTCATTAAATTTTAACTTACCTATATATGCAAAGAAACTTCATAGACATCAATTAAGCTGTGGTAATATAAATTACATTCTCTTGATAAAGATGAAGCAATTGTACCTTTTACCTTAGTGTGTAGTGTTTGACCATCCACAGGATAGTAATTGATGTTCAGTACCATTTCATATTTCATTGTCACTTTATTCATCATGTTTGTACTTGAATAAGGTCGACTAGATCACCTATCTTGTTATAATAAATGAATAAGCTTTTTAATCCTAACGAAAATCAAGTGTTATGAAACACACATTTATATGATTTCCATAATTTTCGTCTAAAATTTATTATTAAACTAGTTGTTTTTAAGGATTTTTCATCATGTTCGTGTGCGTGTCAACGTTTCAAAGGAAGTTTATGATCCCTTAAAAAATATAGATGTTAGTCATTCAACATGATAGTTGTTTAACATCACTAAAACCTGTAACACTTATTGACTGACTACTTCACAAAAGTTGAAATTTACAAACTTCTTAAGTGAATGCATATTTCTCTAGTAGTTATCCAAATGTAATATGACTAAGTACTTAGGAAAATAGATCATATGAGATATATGAATTTATTGACTAGGCTTACAGAACATTAAAAAAACTTAGAATGACAGCTTATGAGTCAATTTGAACTTCCATTTGTGTAATTTTTGAAATGTCGATTTAACGACCACACTTCACGTCTACATGCTATCGACTTGATTGTGTGAAGAGTGTGACATTTAACCATACAATTCAAGGAACCCACACCAACAAATTAGGAACAAATTCAATCTTGATGTTATACGTGAACTAAGTTTATCCATTTTTCTACGCAGACATATAGTAGTACGGTTTTTATTAAAATCATGAAGAACGAATTATAACCGTATAGATTTCTTATTGTGCTGCTGATATTTTCGACCGTATTTGGTTTGTCGTTGTTTTAAAAATATAGGCTCCATGAGGGAATTCAACGATACTGATAGTAATTACAAGTTGATTATACGTTGGACAACAGCAGTTATTGATATCCAAGACACGCGCTACAAGCTATTTAGTGTCTGTTGACCGGATGTACCGGGATTCCGGTGTTGACGTTCACATTGAGTCTCGAACCCAGGACTTCATATGCTGAGTTTCCACTTCCTGGATGACACTTCTAGCATTTATCGAAAATATCATTAGCAAATTGTGACAACTTTTGTATCGATTTATGCACATTGCTCTCAATCTCACGCAAACATTGAACAAAGTTTATACCCAAATCACCTATAATTAACGCGACTAAACCCAAAATATTTTCCTTACAAAATACGAATAAACTGATACTTTGAAAGGATTCAATCGGTTGCTAAAAAGAAAAATCAAAATAAAATGATCACTCCTACAATTTATAACTTCGCTTAGTTCATATTTGAATTACTTGTATGACAATAATTTTCTGATTGCGAAACCTAAAATTTTCATCCAAGGAAAAATATGAAACGAAACGAAAAATATTATATGTACTCCACAGTGTTTTCATTTCTAATCTAGTTTACTTAGTACTCAATGTAACCCATTAAGTGAATGTTTAACGCAAACATGTAAATTTTCAAAGCATAATAAAAAGTAAACAGCTTAAGAGTTTGATGAATTAAAACAAACACATCATAACTTACAGGACTTATACGTCGTGATGTAGAACTACGTGTAAAACGTTTATCTTGTAAAGCGGTTACACGTATATCATCAAGTAAAGCAGCAACACCGTAACCAGAATCTTCATTCATAGGATGCAAAATAGTGAATGTTGTAATATTAGCTCCTTGAACAGATTCAAAAGCCTTTGGATCAACCAGTTGAACATCCTTAAGAAAAAATAAAATACAAACTTGGTAACCCTTTGAAATTGATAATAATCGAAATATTTATAGAGATTAAGCTTGAAATGTCTCCTGTCTTTATGATAACGACTTTGTTAGTTGTAAATATAAATAACTATATATCAGAAATTTTTTTGAATTTTGATCTGTCTTTCAGTGACGTAATCGAAATTGTTATGGCCAAGCTATTATAACAATCTTACATTTTTTGTGTAGTGAACACAATGTTTGGTACATAAAACTATCATTACATAATTATTAATGATAAGTTAATTTATTTCTCCCTAAATAATCATATTCTATTTAACAAAAACTAAGAGCCTATCAGTGAACATTGTGACATGATATTGGATTTTTCGTCGGTAGTACGTGTCAAAATAGTTATCCACTTGATATGATGGAAAGAAAAATTAATTTTCGATTGATTTACTCGTTATGAGTTTTATTCAACATTGACATCCATTCTAATTCAATGTGATGATCATTCACTGTAGTATTCGGTTTTCTTTTGTCGGATGATATTTTATTCTGTATAATATACGATATTCTTGTATTCCATTGACATAAACTATGCTCAGTCTGTGATTTGTTATAACTCTACATGTGATTTCATCCTAATTATTAATCAAAAATGGGCGAAAATCAATATATAAACCAGTGTATTTTAGACTATTTTGATCATCGTCGTCGTTGTGTTTTGAGTCTAATAAATCGTCGTTTATACCAGTCTTTATGTTCTTACTTTCGCATCGTGGGAATTGCAGGGGTCTCTCGTCCCGATCAGCGGCTTTTTCCGGCAGAACACCACTACACTGGAAATTCAGCTGAATTTAATTAAGGTAGGGTCAGCAAAACTTTGGTCTATAGATGTTTACAGATGTTTATGAGGACAGTAAAATACCATATCAGTCTTAGCGTCAATGAGATAGAAAAAAAATGAAATTCTTACCCAATCAGTAAATACATAACTGTAATATTGCGACGTCATATTGTATGCATTTGCCTTTAAAAGGAATAATTGGTAGAAAATTGGTTTAATTAACGAATTCAAAAAAAGGAAATAAATTAAATTTTTATAACAATCTGATATCAACTGAAAAATCATTGAAAATCACAGAGTAATGAACATTTATTGAATTCTAATTCTGTATTCTTTAATAGTGAATGACTACAACTCGTTCAGAATCCAGCTCCAGTTCTGAGTTTTATAAAGATCATGAAACTAATGTATCATTCAAGTTGAAAATTTATGGTCATCAGATTAAGCTTGAAATTTCGGAAAAACGTTTTTGAATTCCTAAGAAGCTACTAATTTTTATAATTATACTACAACAATGCTACTCCAGAGCAATAAACTGGTCCAAATGGGTTGTATTTGTAATAAGATATGGAGTGTCTTCAATTAATTGTCAAAGAAATGAAAAAGTACTACTAAGTCTGTCAGCTCCCACAATTTTATAACTGACATCAGTCAATAATGAAAATTTTTATAGTATAAACAGGCTTTCTACTATCAAATAAACATAAAATCCCCTTGCGTAAAATTCCTGTTTACATTAGGACAGAAGAACTTAGATAAAGTGATACTTTACATATAAATACATATAAACTGGTACATACAAATGGAGGTAACAAGTGACTTGGAATAAAAAATTTGTTTAGTATAGAGAAATTAGCTTAAGGGCTGGTGTTATATCCTAGTGAAGATTAAATTACGGGTAACTTCCGAAGACTATTAATGGACTAATATTCTGTAAATATTCTTACTGTATACCTATTTAATAATTAGAATATGTATATTCATATTCCTCTTATTATAAGCTTCATTTTGACCTATAATTTATTATTATACGATTTACTGTCCCTAAATTATGCTCAGTTTATTAACTACTGTCTCCCACGTTCACATCCACGTTTTGGCTTTATTGTGTAAAAATATTATTTCCTATTTTATGGTGCGTTGCGGTCTGTTTGTTTGATATATAAACCCAGTATGTTTGAAATATATGATTCGCATAGTGGAAGCTGGTATTGGTGTTTTGGACTCAATTGGACGGGCGAACATAGGACCAATAAGGACGCTAGGCTGCTCATACCGGTCAAACGCCATTGGTTTGGTACCGTGCTAAGATTGTATAAGTCGTATTTCGATTGGCGGATAAATCACATGATAAAAAGCCGGACATAATGACACAACAGCCGAATAAGTTCTTCTTAGTGTGGCCTTTAATCTAAAATCAACTTCTCCAGCTACTTCGTCATCCTTGACAGCAAATCTTTGAAAGACAGGCTTTTTATCAGCCTTTAAATACTCCACTTCCTTTATACTAGTCTTCGACTATTAGCTACGAATTTTTGCAAACGACCATCGCCAAGTTAGCAACGAGCAGATGTGGTTAATTCCTTCTAAATCTTACCATCTGAACTATTGGATAGAAGTTATTGACATCAATGTTGAAAAGGATCTCTTAAATGTCTAGTAATAGTTCGGAAATAGAGCAGATAATTTCACTAGACAATAGAACGACAATGGTTCAAACATAAAGGAGGGCAGAAATGTATGTTGAAACTTAGTGAGTTCTAATCGCAGTTAGAAAGTGGTAGAGAATGACGTTTTTCACATGATTTACTCAGCTGTTAGTTCAAAAGTGACTCTTTTTGAATAAATTTTAACCTCCTTATTTTCATGACTTTTCAAATTTCAATAGCGGACACAACTTCCTGTTTAGTGAATACAAAAAGTGTGACTTATGCAGTCGAACGTGACATATTGTAACGAGTTCTATTTGTGTGATATCAAATACTAAGTTGAGCTTTTAGTGTTTGGTTAATTTCACTAGCCTTGAACAGTCTGATCAATAAAGCATCTTTCCTCAATCCTATTTACTGTAAAATTTATACAAAATCCATCAATATATTTGTTTACATACAACTAAGGATAGTTATTTTCTCGAATATATTTCACTATCGTTCCACATCCTAATTCAAACTTCCTAGTGAAGTTAATTTTCCTATCTATATGTCCAAGTTTGAATCTCAAATATAACTGAAGTTTTAAAATTTATAATTAGTTAAAATTGTTTGTTGGTGCTTTATTGACAAAAAGAGAGACGGAATATAATCAGTTCATTGTATTACCGTCAAATCATGTCGTTCTTTGTGTTGTTGAGATGTAAAATAATATTATTTCATTAGTAAATTATAATTATTTTTAAGAAAGCAAAATGAAATTTAAGTCACTTACAAGTGCTAAAAATTCTTGAATCTCCCAAAACGGTATATCCACAATAAAACGAAAATGTGTTTGAGTAATTTTAAATTGCTTAATTACATATTTTTGGTTATCATTAGATACATCCCATTTACGAAGCATCAATGGTTGATCGAATGTTCTCAATAGATAATCGAATTTCAATAAACCTAAAAGCACATTATTAAAGCGTAATTACTTTGAAAGAATCACTGGAACGAAGTATGTAATAACGTTATACATATATCTTGCATGTACTATAATTTGAAATTCGGAATCACTGTATTTCGATCCAGTGTTTACATGGTAATGTACTCACCATAAGACATATCTGAATCCAATTTAGCATGGGATTGAGGGTGATATAGGTCTGGAATGCTTTGTGATTTTTGTGATGAAATGTTTGTAGAATTTTCTGAATCTGACAATTTAGATCATAAACCAACTTTGGTAAAACTGTAAATGAAAACCAGAAAGCACGAGACATCTGTTTCTTCTTATCATAAAAGTCCATGTCAAAAAAATGGACCTTGAACTCCACTAAAGTTTTGATACCCAATGATTTAGCAGCTAATATCAGTCAGTGATAAAGTCATCTTAAAATGATCGAGATTACCATGGAATATTTCAACCAGCGAGGTCGTAGATGTAATGACATTTGAAATTTGAACTAGCTGATTCCAATATTGAATTTGTTATTTATTCTAGTACGTCATGGACAAGCTCTTAAATGTTTTCAAACAATAATAGATGATAGATCATTGAGAAAAAATTCTAACCAATAAGCTGTTTGACTTTCATTGTCTTTTAAACGAATATCCTGGTATTCAGAAGAAACTGTTTTTATGGACCGATCGTGTTAGTCTATTTCGTATTACCTTTTAGAAATATTGACATATAGATTTGACAGAAAATTAACCTAACTCATTATATTTCAAAAATGTAGAGAACTTTAACATAGAAATTAATACACTTAAAGTATGAACCCAGAGTAATAGGATCTTACGTGAAACATGATTTTTGATTTACATGTATAGGATCTGCACTATGCACCACATAACTAACTGTAGTCAATCAAGGCTGAAAAAATAAATTCTTTTTACTTCTAAAAATATTTCAAACCATAGTCGTAAGCACACTGATAATACTGTATTCAAAGTTCGCTTCGATACTGAGTAATTATTAAATGTTGTTGTTAAAGAGTAATTTAGCTGACTACATGTTTATAATGAATCAAGCTCTCAAAGTTAACAATCACACTTACTTTCTTCTTTAGAATAAATCACAGCAACTGTATCCCAATATTCCGCCTTCTGTACATAATCATATAAAGCTTGCCCAAATGCTAAATAATGTGGATGTACATTTAATGCATAACCGCGAGACGTTTGATGATAACCCCAATCAATTTGTAAGTGTGGTATACCGAACTGATTGCATAGAGCTTGTACAGCCGACGATGCGTACGGTGTAGAAGGTCCATAAATTGCGATAACTTGACGTTCAATTAACTGACAGGCTGTAATGTATTTGAAAAAAAGAGCCAAAATTATTACTTAAATTTTTAATGTCCAAATAACTATATCACTGAATGGAGTTTTTTTTTCTATAATCTTTCTCATACAGTCAAATAAAACGGTGAATAAAACTTAAATCAAATATTCTTGAATGGTAATAGCAGAGACATTATCGGCTATGTTAGTGGACTATAAGCATCTATATGTAATTTATTAGTGACCTCATTTTCAAGCTTATTTCTCAACATTTGACGCTTTTCATCTGGTTCACTAACACTAGCACTGTTACTACTACTACTACTACTACTACTACTACTACTACTACTACTACTACTACTACTACTACTACTACTACTACTACTAATAATAATAATAATAATAATAATAATAATAATAATAATAATAATAATAATACCACTAACCAGTCTTCAACTATTTCAAGAGTACGGTTGACTTAAAGTTATTTCCTTGTATTAACAAAGTTTAATATGAGAGGAGAAAGATTATAAATGAAATCAACAGCTGAAAATCTTGTTTATTTTTAGTAAAAGTAGAAAAAAATTTCCTTTTGTAACTATATATCATTTTCTTAAGAAGAAGAACTGTAAAGATGAAATTCAAAGAAATTATCCTAATTTTCTAGCTTTATCACTCAAGTTAAAAGCAGATAATTGACTTTTTGTCATTCAAAAAAGCTAGTCACCATTATAAGAGTGAAGAATACAAGAAATCGCAATTACAAACAAGGTTTCCTTTCGGAAATCAGGAAATAAGCAACTAGATACTTATGTATGAACACCTCATCTCCCCTTCCGTATAAAATAGCTATTTGCGTCTACGAGTTGAAAAAATCTCTTTCAAAACATTTTTAAAAGATAGAAAAGACTTTAAAATAATATGTACTTAAATCTATTTTCCATACTAGTTATATTTATACATGTTGACTATAACTTAAACTTTACAAATAGCTGAGAGAATCTATTACATTCATAAAGGACGTTGCTAAAGTCAAACGGCTACTAGAAAAAGAGAACGGTCACATTGCTAATAACTTAAATATATTTCCTCTCCTCCTTCCCTATTATTACTTTACTGATGTAACAGATTTGTATCGAAGTCCGATCATAAATAATTAATGAACAAGTACATTATAACATAAAAGATATTTTGGTTCAGTTAAAATTATCTGATATTTCTCCACAAAATACATAAATTAGGAATTTCCTTAAGAATGTTATGTGATTACTACTTCGGTGGAGCAAAATATTCAAGGTGAGGTGAAAAATATTCGACTTTTTTGCTGTATATTCTGACTCCTCGTTTGACTAGATCACAGTATTTTTACTCTTTGCTGTAAACATATTTATTAATTGAGAGTTAAACTCGTTTCTAACAATCCAAATTCCTACAAAAATCCTTAGTGGGGTATTGATAGTATAAGTCGTCCCTACTCATCCTAACTCTAAACCAATTAGCAGTCATCGATGAGTAAACAAAGAACTCACTATTCAAAACCTCTGCTGTTTTCAAAGTATAACTTATTCTATATCGATCGGTGATTAAGACAATCTTAAATGACAGTTTTACTTTATGATCTATACGGGGCTTCATTTACGCCAGCACTTATCGACCATGTAGCTTGTGAACAGTCAATAAATATCAGTGTGATTTATATTAATAAACGTTGTGGTCAATCGACCAATAATAACAATTATTGTCCTAACATCCCGAGTTATTACTACTAGCAAAAAGTAGACATGAATCTATAGATACACTTAAAAATGAATTTTTTCATATCCGACGACAAAAATGGACAAAAACATTACCAGGCAATAATAAATGTTTTTATCAGAATGAGAGTTTGTGAAGATTGTTGAATTCATGAGTTGATCTAAGTTAGACCACCATTAGAAACCTGGAAGTACTGGATGGCCGTTTCATTTTCAGTAGTGCCCATCCACAATCCTGCATGAGGGACTCGAACTCTTGGTGAGTCACATGGTACGACGAGACGACCGTCCAGTGCTTCCAGGTTTTTACTGGTGGCCTAGCTTAGATCGATTTATGAACTAAACTATTAAAACTCATAGAGATCTAAGAAATTCCAATTAGCAACTTACATAGGAAATTCTCATTTATGTTCGGTACACTTTTCAAGCTTGTGGTATATCTTTTTCATTATTCCAGAAACTATGTTTGTAAACTACAGTTTGTAAGATAAGTAAATTGTATGCTTAGCCTATATGAGATTGACATCACTTTACAACTCATTCTAAACAGCATAAATGATCACTATAAACAAATGATGGTTGAACATGAAGTTGAATGTGTCACAAAACTGTTCATTCGATCAGTTGCTAATCCACCGATCTATTTAAACGCACAGTTTAGTATCATTTTAACATTTTAAAAATTATGAGTAATCTTAGTAAAATACCAAAGTATGGATACTTAACAAAGATAAAAAATACTTTCAAACTGATCATATAACTGTTGATCTCATGGTTTGTGACAGTTAACCGGTGTGTATCTAATAACCGAAATGAATAACAGAATACAGCAATATATATTTCTAATTCTATCTTTGATATAGATATAGAAAGATGTTAAAGTATAATCATGAATTACTAGCTAATGTACGGTAGTCCATCAAAGATTACATTTGAAACAAAAATCTATTATATATATAGCAGATTATAATACCTTTTCGCGTTGCTTCGAAACTATCATCTCCATCAATTGTTTCTATTATTGGTATTAATTGAAAACGGTGATTCGTTGAATCGTGCTGCTGTAATAGTTTGTTTGCTGCTTGTATACTTTTCTTGAAACATATTTCTTGAGCTACATCATCTTTTTTAATCAAAGCACCTATGAATAAAGAAAAATAAGATAGGGGAATGAAAAACAGAGGGGTTAATGTTTTTCTTTTGTATTCAGAGTGATGAAAAACAAAAATAATACTCATAATAAAGTCGGCCGTTCTAATTACTTAAAGCTTACTGAGTGACCCAACACACCTAGGCCTGTGAATACATACTGCTGAGTTTAATAATAAGCCAAAATAATTGTTCAGTGCTAATTTGATTTCAATGGTACCCCAAGTTTGACTAATCAATAGCAAATACCTCCTACGGACTAAATCATCCTAATGAAATCATTTTATTTAAAAAATATTTTTAAGTCAGTAGTTCTACATCAAAATCACTTTTCGTCCCAATATATAAGAGGGTTAAAATCATCCTGTGACAACCATAGAGGAATTAGTTTAACTAATATAGTATCTAAAATACTAGCCTCAATAGCAATCAGAAGCCTAACTGAGACACGTGAACTGCAAACACGAGAGAACCAAGCTGGCTTCAGACCTGGTTCTGGCTGCATCGATCACATATTCACCATTCGTCAGGTTCTAGAACACAGGCATACTTATCGACGTCCGACAATGGTGGTCTTTCTTGACTTAAAAGCAGCATTTGACTCGGTAGACTGCGAGATTCTGTGACAGTGTCTGTCATTGAAAGGCGTACCTCGGAAGTATATAAGCCTTGTGAAGGCTCTTTAATCTAACACTACTAGTCGAGTCAGAGCTTATGGCGAACTGTCATCTGCTTTTGCGACCTCAAGTGGTGTCCGTCAAGGCTGTCCACTATCTTCATTTTTGTTTTAATAGAAGTAAGCACATTTAGAAGATTTGACAATCATGTTTCCAACCATATTTCTATATGGTTGGAATCTTTATTCACATAAACTAAGGAAATAAATATATTGATAATAAATTGTGAATAACAACAAAAGTCAAGTTTTTGAAGTTTCCATAACTTGTCATGCATTTTATTGCATATTATTAGGCAATATATCTCTGTTGTTGCTTTAATTTAACTGATTTTGATGTCAGTCAGTCAGCGTAGGACCAGGCACATATATGCATCGGTTCAAGTTGCCATACCTTATTAACACAAGATGAACACCGGATTCATAAAGGTAGTTAATTCAGAGGTGGTAAATTATAAAAGAAAGATTGCATATAACGATATAGTACAGGAAGAAAGAATTAGTTCGTAGAAAGAAAGATATGAAGTGATTTTAATCTTTTAGTTTAGGGGAAGACAGAGAGTGTATACACCGACGCCACTGTGATCGATTCTGAACCATGTCACCATGAGTCTCCAACCATTGATTATGATAGTCACGCGGACTCCAACCAAATAGTCTGCATCTACCAACATGACTCAGACTAGAGGTTAGTGACTTGAAGCACTGATGTCACGTTTCGGTTTGGGAACCCCTAACTTTCTTCCAACCATCTCCAACATCGGTTAGCATTGCACGTCGTGGTAATCGATGTTCAGGCATACGTAACACGTGGCCCAACCATCTCAGTCGATGAAGATTCATAACCTCATCAACTGATTTACCATTATCCCCTAATACCCTGCGTCTAACCTCACTATTACTTACCCGGTGAACCCAGCAGATGCCAGAAATATTTCTAAGGCATCTGTGGTCAAATACTAGTAGCTTACGAGTATCTTCTACTATTAATGGCCATGTTTCGCTGCCTTAAATTAAAACAGAACGGACTGCCGCGCAGTATACTCGTCCTTTTATTGATAGACGGATATACATCGCCTTAGGTCTGTTCAGGCTTTCAAGATAAGTAAAGTTGTCAAAGCGTTGTACTACTTCACTCCCTATCCTTAGTTCAGGTATTGACCCAGGCCAGTGCGGAAGCAACAACTTGTATTTAGAGGTGGAGAAACGCATCCCAAATATCCCGGTATCGTTGATTATGACGTATAAATCCACTCTGTGAGCTTTATAAATAATAGGCTCTCTTTTATCATTAACATTTACTCCATAGTCTTTCGTTAATCGAGTGAACTGAAAATATAATATACATGATTACTTATCCACAACTCCTGCCTAACAATGACGTGTCTGGAAACAAAATATAAACTTATTGATTACTGATTTCAATCTTCTCATTATTTCTGTAATTATTAGTTAAAGATGTTGATTTAGAAGTGAAACAAATAAAGCAAAGTACTATAAATATATTACATTATTTATGGATTATACTTAAAAATAACATAAAGCGCTACCAGCATTAATGATGTAAGAAACTAAACGTTTAGGGTCCAACCACGTAGTATTCTATATCACAAGGCGGCATGCTTGAATATCTAGGTTATCTGTTCCTGCCATCAACAAGTTGCCTGTCTTCTTGTTTGTTTTTACACATTATTATGCCTATTAGTCTTATAACCTATTCAGGCGCATTTGTGAATAGTTTATGACATTTCGCTGTGCAAGTTACAAAAGAGCCCAATCAAAGACATCGTGGTTGCTGGCAATATGCATCGAAAAGAATATACAGTATTCAGATGTATATTCCTGAAATGCTAACATCTAACTGGCAACCACTCAATATTTATTGCAAGAATCGATCAAGAAATAAGAAAAGGAAACTTGTTGAAATAGTTTGTGCTGAGAATTCTATATTGTACCAAAAAATATAATATTAAATAAAGCCACTGATGATAATAATAATAATAAAATTTTAAAAATAAGACACACTGTCGTTTCATCAGTTGATCACCTTGAATCGTAACGAAAATAAGTAGTAAATTCAGTTGAATGAATAATAATGACCAAGTTAGAATAACTTTATTTGAACATATAATAAACCTTCAAATCATCAGGTAAGACAAAATATTTTACAATAAAGTACAACTCTAAAATATGTTTATGTTAACTATTGGCTCAGTGCTAACTTTATATGTAAGTTTTGAATTTCATTGTTCCAGACACTACAATAACTGATACTGAATTCTAGTTAAATCATATTTACTTCTAAAATTACAATTGTTTAACTATATTGAATGATCACAAAATATCAGTCATATACCACTGTACATTTACATGTTGGATAAAAACTACGGTCATATTTGATAATGTTAAAATTAACTTCATTAGATGACACACGAAAATGTAACAACCTGCCTAGTTTATTGAAATTCGAACCTTATTTAATCAAACATTTAGTTTACCACAATTTTAACTAATAAAAACAAAGTCAACAAATAATTTCACATCCTTTTTTGTTCATTTTACTGTCCATGTTAAAATATGGATTCGTGTTAAATTTCTATACCTTAGATTCAGATCTAATTATTTCTGAAACATACACGAAAACTTCATCTTCGTGCAAACAATTAAATTATGTTAAATTAATTGGAAATTGTTTCTCGTTAAATAAATTATTTATAAACCACTAGTGATTAGAACATAGCTACAAGTGTTTGACAAACTCATTATTGTAAATACTATAAAATATTATTTAATTCAGAGGCTTGTTGACATTCCATTCAGTTTGAAGAAAGTGGTTGCCAATTGGTAAAGTACCGAAAGTAAGTAAGGAAAACATTTCTCTTCATTTTAAATTGTTTGACTATACAGGCTATACAGCATATGACCATATATTTGGTTCAGTTTCGGGCTGATTTCTCTCTCTCGTGAAAGCTAACATAGAATTTTTCTTTAAATCCTGAAAAAAATAATTCAGATGCTTGTGTATACTGATAAAAATGGTAGAAATCCCAGCCTTTTTCTACCACTTTAAATTTGGTCAAGAAAAAAAATAGTAATTTGACGCAAATACTATTTAAAGTTGATTACAATGGTTAGTTGTTCGTTTTGAAAAATGGAATTAGCTAAAGGTTAAATAAACCTAGAATTTATTAATGTGCATTTGTATATGGATTATTGAGGTCATCTCTGAATAGAGGCTAAGGATATCTAGTGTAGTTAGATGACTTAAAATGAACATCTACAAAATATATCAAAGAAAAACAATGATTAGTTAGATTGCTGGTATTTTGTTGTTTCATGTTACCAGTAATCCACCAACACCCACGCTTTTTATTTTCCATCAGCCGTTTGTTACGATTTATTTTCGATATGGCATAAGAGCTAAGCATAATGACTAGGCTCTGCTTACATTAGGTGATGAATAACTGACCAAAACTTTGCTTAAATGTTCTCTAAAAAACCTTTGTGTTATGTATTTAACAGTTAAGTGTGTTATTTTATTAGCATGATATAAGTTTTTGTGTATTCAGAAACAGTTTGTTCTCACCTTAAACCTACCCTGGTAATATTGACTTATTATCCCGAGTGATTATGTTTTAAATTATGTTCACATTATTATTATTACTCTTATTATTATCTTTGTCTCCTTTTAGCCCATTTCCAGTCTAGTTGACCTTTTATTTTTTTATATATAAATGTTCGTAACAAGTATATATGTGATCAGATTGTTCGAAATATATTGCGCTAATATGTCACATAGTTCCGATAATCTTCGTCTTCTTATTACATTATCGAAATAAGTTTTTCTGTTAAATTTATATTTTAAGTCAAATCCTCAATTAGATAATTTGAGTGATCCGCTACCTAATAAATCTTTAGATGATTTACAAAAGACTAAAAAAAAAATCATGGCCTGCATCCTATATTCTATATCGTTGTCTCAGTTTATTAAATTTTAAACGAAATTGTTCATAACAATTATAAAAAATAAAATAAATCGTAAATAAAACTTTCTATGACCTTGTAAATAATTCAGAAAGAAAATTATTCCCATCTAATTAAATGAGTATCTGTAGACCAATTCCACGAATAATAAGAATGGGAAACTGATTATAGATCATATGAAATTCATAGTCTTTGTAAAACCTTTGTAACCATTTAAACTTTGTCATTATTCTTATGAAATATTTTTATGTGTACGTATTGTTTATTCATTGACTATAAAAAGGTAACTTAATAAACATCATGGTCACTTATATAGTCGTTGAAAATTGACTTTATAATATAGTTTAATCGTTTTTGTAAATTATTTGTCATCTGTTTATTTGGAGTTTGTTTGTTTGTTTTGTTAATAATTATCGCTTGATCAAAACTCACATAAATATATTCTGATTAACATACAGTGCGTATAAAAGCTACAATATATTCGGAAATTTACGAATTCAGTATGTGACTAAACTTAAATATATAATTTCAGATATCAAAAAGAAGAAAATTTCCAGAGAGGAGTCATGTCGTCTCTTAGATGTAACTGAAAAAGATTACTGATAGCACTTTTTAACTGATTGAAATGAAATGATCAATCTAGAGTATCTAACTGTTAGTTTTCTTCGATGTTAGAGAGTAGTTAGTAGCTTACAAGCGGCCAACGATATTCCATAGTTTATTGATACTATACCGTGCTTTAGACTGATCATCTTGATATTTTTGTCAACTTACATGGGTTATCTAGGACAAAAAATCGAAACAGTCATACTCATAAGAGAAATTTATACCTTAACCTTGTTAGCCGACTGAAATCTGAAACCATATTTAGTTATCCACCCTATCTACTTATAACTCTATACCATTTTGACTTAAACATTTCTCACTCTACACCTCCACAACCACGCTATACTACATCAATATTAAAATAATTCCATACATATAACTTCTATATAGTTTAATAAACAATATACTGGAACTTAAATGAAGTAAAATATATCGAACACCTTATTACCATCCCTTTTTCAAGTTACGTTTCAGTGATATTAAACAATAAATTTATGGAATTTTCGAAATAATCAATTAAACCAGAACAATTTGCATACTATATTTCTGTTGAGTGTATTCTTTACAATAGACACGGTATTTCATTGTTAACCGACTAGTTATCAAGAATTTTGAGTGCCGAGGGCATTATTCCCATCACAGAGCTATCAATGTACATTTAATCTCTATTTCATTTCAACTGTCACAAGAAAAATGAACAGTTATGTTATCATATTAAAGTATTCATTGAATTATGACAAATAAATCTGTAAACATTCATTAAACCTTTGAAACATAGAAAATAAACAATAATATATTGTTCAAAACAAAACGTAAACAATAATAATAACCATGATCGCTTACCTATTATCAGCTGAGTAGATTCATAAGTTTGTGAATAAATACAAGATAATTGAATGAAAATGATTGAAGTTGTATAAAATATCATGTGTATATCCAAGTATCCTACATATATGAATGTATATATTATTTATGTGCGGGTGTATAGGGATTAGAGTGGACAGCTTTTAAAACAAATTCAACTTTTCGCTTGAATAACCAATTAATGAATCAATAAATCTGAAAAATAAATAAATAAAATAAATTGTTCCAGATTATGTACATCTGAAATTATTTCTGATAATTTCAGAAATAATAAACTTTATTTACTGGTTATGATTTAAAAGGGTTCTTTCGAAGATTCATTCAATTTGTAAATTGTACTTGTTAAAGAATGATCACAATTGGAGTATTGTTGAAGATCAAGATGGACTGAACAGGTGATTTACTTTAATGTAAAACTTCTCAGCATTTTATACCTATGACTGTATTGTGCTTATTTACATATATTCAGAGAAATTGTGTTGACGTGAGCTGAGTTCTGATTATTTTAAGTGGAATTAAATGGAACCTTATTGGAAAAAAAAACAAGCAGTGATACACAGCTAAATTGTTTTAATCTGGAAGTGATCAAAAACGAAGAGAGACAACAGTTGAAGTTGACTAGGAGTAGCTATTTGAATTTCGCAAAATAAACACGAAGTTGATATTCAATTTAATCTGACTTTTGTAAATGTTAGTCTCGGATAAATGTAACTTTAACTGAATGTAACTAATCACTTTAAGAAGTATCCAGTATGATTTGATTATGTAAAGCAGTAGAACCCATTATGCATATTCTTTATTTATAACTTGTCAAGTGGATGTGAATATATTCAATGTTTATATTCACACAGAGACTAGAACTCAGTACCTATCATTCCAAATCTCAACAAGTTCTCCACTAAGATACTTAGTCCAAATAGTTATACGTAAGAGCTTGAAGCTTATCCGTTGTTGACATTAAGAACTACAATAGTTGGTAAAAAAAAGGAAATGAAAAATATATTTGAAAATGTGAATCTTCGATGGAAATGAAACTTCATAGTGTGCATATTTCTTAGCAATTGAAGACGACAGACATACTCATGAAAATAATCGTATAAATACAAGATGAAGTTTTTTCGAAGAATGCTTCCTTACTTGTCATTCGTACATAAATTTACTGAAATTCCATAAAATGATTTCATTTCTTTCTTTTGACTGAAAAATGTGTTGCCAAGTATTTTTTTGCGTTAATACTTTATTTCAAGAAGTCAAAGCAAACCGACCAAACCAATTTTTCAAAAATACACGAAAATCCTTATGCTTATTCATTATTTATTTGTTTGAACACATAAATATTGGTACAAGAGGGCACCCATTATATATGCGACAAACAAAACAATCAGGATTCGAAGAGAAAAAATGGTAAGCAGCATAAAAAAAGTACAATAACGAACAGATTAGTGTAAGATAGTGTAATAATAATAATAATAATAATAATAATAATGGGGGAAACGGAAAGGTACAATCAGAAGAAATCTTTCAGTTAAGGAAGATACAACCATTTTTTATCAAAAAGGTAACAGGATGTTACAGCAGGATCACCACTGGCTTCTATTCTGAGCCATATCTGATAACGTCTCTAGCCACTGTGTTCCATTATACGTTGGACCCCAGCCAGGGTGTCGAGAAGGACCGACAGAAGCTAGTCATGTGTAGCTTTTTTTCATACCACTAAACCATGTCATACACTGACTACCTCTCCGCTTCTTCCAACCAGTCCCAACGTCGGCAAATAATGCACGACGTGAAATTCGCTGGCACGACATTCATAGAACATGTCCAAGCCACCGAAGTCGGTGTTTCACGATGGTGACACCAATTGCATTATCGTCTCTGTGCCCGAACATACGATGCCGAACCTCTCCATTACTAACATGGTGTTGCCACTGAGTGTCAGTAATCCTTCGGAGACAACGATGATCAAACACAGAGAGTCGTCTAACATCCTCAACTCGGAGAGACCAGGTTTCACAAGCATAGAGCAGAACTGCTCTCACCGACGCTATTGTAGATCCGACTTTTTACAGCCAGATTAACATCACAAAGGCGCCAAAGATGGCTTAGAGTGAGATAAACCGCTCTGGCTTTCACTATAAGTGCATTGATCTCATCACTCATGCCACCACCACCACTTATGCAGCTACCTAGATACACCAACTTCTCCACTATTCCTATCTGTTCACCATCCAGGGTGAGTACAAGATTAGAATCCTGCCAGTCTTGTAGAAGTACTTTGCACTTCGAAGGTGCAAAGCACATTCCATACCTACAGACACTGACTGCCAACTGATTAAGTGCGGATTGCATTCCTTGGGCATTATCGCACAGTAAAACAATATCATCCGCATACTCAAGGTCGAGAAGTCTTTCTCCAGGCAACGGATCCACACCACCATTACTTGCATCCATCAGAGCTGTTTCCAGAATGTCATCGATGGCAAAGTTGAAGAGGAATGGTGAGATTCGGCAACCCTGCCTAACCCACTGCCCGAATGGAACAATGGAGAGAGGTGGTTGTATGCCCTCACTCTGCCTGAGATGCTGAAAAGGAGCTAATGGAATTTTTACTACTGTCTTAATGTAGATAAATATTGATGTGATGATGGGCAGAATAGTACAAATAATAATTATTACCGAACTTCAAATAATCTTCGTACGGAAGAGAAATTGCTAGAAAGAAATCCTAAATAGTGAGGAACTCAACTCTCAAGTAATAAGTGATCGCTATGCACGATGAAAAAAAATAACATAAATGTACCTAAAGAAGTGTTTTTTTGAGCGAGGTTTATTAGCATATTCAGGGATCGATTTTCACCTCCAAAGATATCTGAATGGTTTAAAAGTTAGGTATATTAACGCTGTATCTTTTTGTCTGTTTTAAGGTTTCATTTTTACTTGATCTCTGAGAAACTCAGATTTGTGATGGGATCAATTAAGGAACTCTAACCTAGCAAGTGGAAATCGGTTCTCAATATGCTGTAATTCTAAGCCTGAGAAATAGTATTCTGGATGGCCAAAATAGATAAGAATCCTTTGCACTAACGTGATTTTTAGTCACGAAAACTCATGTAACTCTGGACACAACATTATACGCGGCCCCCAAATTATTATAAAAAGTCTCGAATTACCATTCGTAAAAATCGTTAACTGGATTTATGGTGTAACGTGGTAAGTGGCAAATAAACTGTGCATTCGTACTTTCAATAAAAGCAGTTGGTTAAAACTACACAGTATATCGATAGAGTCCGGATACAAAATGCATCTATAAGGTAAACAGATATGTTAAAAGGGAATTGAAATCTATTGGTTAAACATCCATCCATTATCAAAGCAAATAAAGCTTTGTAGGAGATGACATTAGGTGTTTGGCTATCTTGATCATTAATATTCCTCCTCCTACTTCCTTCTTTGGGTCTGTCTGTGTGTTAAACTAGCGTTTACCTTCAGGAAATAACAAGTGTATACTATGGCGTTCAAACGCTATGCACCTAATATTAGGTCTGATATTCACTTCAGTCGTTGACTGTTATTGACAGAATCTTATTCGTTTCTTCCTAACAGTGACCAAATATAGTTAATGACAAATTAATAAATTAATTATCAGTTGCATTATCTGAATCCTTTATCAAAGATGAATTATATGCCATTATTTATTTAATGCGTTATCAAAGTGTCCATTGAAATTAATTTATTTTCGTGAAAAATTCAAAACAAATACTCTGCAAGTCGGCAGATGGTTTACGAGAATAGAATGTATCGTGAAGTGTGCATGTTAAGTTTAACTGTAACTCAGATAATATGACCGCCTTGTGTTTTAAATAATTCTGCTATGACTAGAAAAAAATTACCAAAGCATTATTTTTCGAAAACGATTGATGCAAAATTAGGTATATGATCGTAGTCATGGTTCTATATTCCCGGCTTCAACGATAGATGATTTTATTTTACTAATGTTCCATAAAAACATTTGGCTCATAGCTCATTGAGATGGCAGATGAATATAATAATTCACATACTAGTCTAGTAACCACTTTTACCGCTCCATACATTTCTATTAGAGTTTTTGCATCACTAAGAACAATGAAGAGATTTTCATACGATTTTCCCGATTGGAAAACTTGAATAACGAAAAAACAACCTAGAGACAATAATATTGTTTATAAAGAAAGCGGTGTACATATCTTATATCATAATAACAGAAAATTTCTTATCACCAAAGTTTAGTAAAAACACAGTAGTAAATATAAAATAAGGGATTTTTATTTGATTGAATATTTATATTTTTAATAGTTGAATTCATGAGTCGATTTATGCTAGACCACCATTGAAGACCTGGAAGCACTGGACAACCGTTTCGTCCTAGTATGGGACACCTCAGCAGTGCGCACCCACAATCCCGTATGCGGGACTCGAACTCAATATCACTGCTTTCAGGTTTTTGATGGTGGTCTAGCATAGATCGACTCATGAATTCGAACACTAAAAGTTATAGCGATCTCCACAAACCCCCATTCTGAGAATATTTATATATCAAATAATGTGAATATTCTGAAAAAATTTTCAAAAACCGAATGTGGATAAGTTATAGAAAGAATTTTAATGCTAAAGTTTATGGAATAACAATAAAATAGATTGATTATAAGATTAAAATGTATAATGGTTAGGTGGAACCCAAAATATGTCTAGGAAAATGAGCTTATGGTTGAGAACACAAAATGCAACTTTACTCAACCAAATGTTGGAAGCTGAATTCATCAGGATATTATAAGATCGATAACAGAATCCTTTAAAGCACACATATCTAGTTTTGGTCTTTTGATACCAATGTCCCCAGTTAAAACAAACAAGTTCGATGTGGGTTGCTTATTAGTAATTTTGAATAATTTTTAAATGTTAATGTCATCTCCATTATCAAGTAGATGTCGGGTGATCGCAGTTATGAAAACATATTTACCTCTTAGTCTCAACTTCTGAATAATGTTTTTGGAGATACAAATGTTGACTCACTTTTCAGTTCTTCCGAAGTATGGCCTTTGGGACGTACATGTAAACTGGTGAATACAACTGAAGGTTACGTTAGATGATTATCTGATTACTTTTCAATGTCTCAGCCATCAATTTGTCAGATAAAGCGAGACCCGTTTAGAGGCTAGATATGTACATTTTAACACAACCTTTGATCTAGAATCGGTCTTCCAGGGCATTTTATCATTTTCAAAACAAAATAGTGTATCTTATTTTTCCTCTACATACAATGCTATTAACACATACCGTATCATATCTCAATTATTCTAATGAACATTACTATGCTTAAATTAGTGATAAGAATGTAAAAACATTGAATAATAAGATCTTGACCATTAACTGACAATTAAATTGTTAATTTTGAGAAGTATACTTGCCCTAGTCTGTATATGTATGATTTTTGTTAAACTCATTACCTCCTAAGTGCAAAGTACAGTTTCTTTTTTTCCTTTTGAACAGTAATGTATAATTCCACATTCAGAAATTAGACTGTTCTTATCGGACATAAAGTCTAACATGTACATTAATAAACAGTATTTTTATTCCAAAAAAATTGGCCAACACTACCATTGTCATTCGTAAAGATTATTATTAACTTATGATTACATTAGGTGATTTCACAGTTAGATGTTTAAAATAGCCAACGATTAACAGAAAAATAATAAACACTTATTATTTTTCGCAGCACTTCATTATGATAATAATGACAATAATGGTACTAACACTTCAAGCATATTTTAACTAAGATCAATCTTAGTGTATACATGCAGTATATAATAATTAGTTTTAATGATAATAATTATTATTCTTAATAGTTAAACCACTCCATATTTAAATATGAATTCTCGTTTTCAGTATTTTCCTGCGTACCTTACGTAAAGGTTAATGAATTTACCATTCAAACCATCGAAACGTAGATGGAGTTCATTTAGAAACTGCCAATCAGTGACTGAGTTATCGAAAGCTATAAGCATTTAGCTACGATTACACTTTTACAATTATTAAATAATCATAGACAGGTTTGCTTACACACTTTAGATGTGATTAACATAAGACAGCTAAAACTGAACAATGTAAAGTAGTGATTAAGCTTACAGTCAAATGACTGATAGTCAAGTTCTTAACCCACCTAGTCTTTGCTGCACAAATAACTAATGTCTTTCAGAACAAAACTTATATCAAACATAGAAAATCTAACCGGAAGACGAGAGTTCTTTTAGAAGTAAAAAGGTTTTTACTTAAGAGCATAAACCTTAAAACACATTCATGAATCTGCTTACATTAGCAAGAATAATTTGCATCTTACAGATCGGGGGTGAGCATAACAATACAAGAAATATATTGAAATTAGAAGTTAAATGATGACTTTAGCGAGCGAGAAATAACTACTTCTTATTTATCTTTGTTCAATAATCACTACTAAGGTAATATTCACAATCTAAAAATCTAAGCAAATTGTATTCAACTCTGAATTAAGAGACTAATTTTAAGTCACTTGAAATATCATTAGCATTAACAGCGGAAGGATTGTATTTTAAACAGAAACATTTAGTATTTACTGATGTCACAATGTCATACAAGTGCTAGTTTCGCTACGAAAACTTATTTATCAACAAGGGCGTCAGTTGTAGTAGTTTGGTGTTATCTAATCGAAAACATCGCTAAGAGCCTCAAAACCTACGTTTTGTGGCACTGATAACTTGGGCCTCGAAAACGTACGTATTTTGTATGTTTGGTTACGCCAGACAAAATCCACTGAATATTGTATACAAACTAAAAGAAATCATACTACTTAATGCTCTGATTACAACCCTTACAACGATTGTTCATCGACTTGCAACAATCTCTAAGAAAGAAGCATTTTATAAAACTTAAATTCACTTCTTCCACATTTTTTGTTCATTTTGATGATTTATGAACTTAAGTTACTAGTAATTATCTAGTAGCATAACTGAATTGTCAAAGTTATCAAATTCGAAATCAGTTAATAATAAGGAGTGACATAAATTCAAGAACCTATGAAAATTGAAGAGCAGTTAACAGCTTTTTCGTCCTAACTGAGGAATAACCATCTGCAACTACGTATGCGACGAGACCCTGAACTTTCACATTCATATTGAGGCTAACAATTAGTGAGTACACGATCTGTATCAAGATTAGTAGTTTATGAAGTGTTCAAATGCCACTAAACAGAATCTAATATTCAGTAATTCTTAAAAATAAGTACAATCACACTTTTGAATATGAAATAATTTCAATAAAAATCTGGTGAATAAAGATGTAGCATTTCAATGTCAAAAGTAGGAACTGACGAAATAAAAATAAGCATACAAACATTAAACGTCTATCATTATCCTCTATAACATCTGTATTAAGTGGAAATGCATTGGATAAAGAAAGGAATCTTCTTTCAATCGTAAAGAACACAAGAAAATCTAAATGCTGAATATATTACAATAAGTCTCATAAGCGAAGGAGTTCTCAAAACTAAATGATCTCCATTTTACCTCACCATTGAGCTCTGAAAGCTGAAATATCAATTAAAAATAGAGTTTAATTCTTTAGGAAATCAGAGTTCATCTGTGAAATTACATACTTTTCTTATGGCTAACAACCAGTAGACAAGATGATGTCAAAGGTCTCACTTCACTACTATTGATAATCTAATAAAAACAAATACATTCCATAATGACATCTATTCCACTGTTTAAAATATTATTGTAGTTTAAAAATAGGGAAACGTAGCTGGTAGACAAGTTCAGAAGAACAACTAACTATCTTTAGCACTAATAATATGAAGCGAACTGTGTAAACTATTATTTCCTCATTAAAAGTTAGAGTTATTTCGAACCCCTTTTAAAGAAAAGCAAGAAAATCTATCATTTGAAGTGAAAATTCTGACTGAGATAGTAAGTTCGAACACCTTATCAGGATGTATCAAAAAACAGTTATAATCGATAATCATTAGAAAAAACACAGGCTGACACTATGCTACCAACTTTTAATCAATGTTTTACTGTGTGTACTTTACTGTAATTAATAAGATATAACCAAATAGACTGGTACAGTAGCCAGTAAAGATTGTGCAGCATAAAAATATGACTGTTACTCCCCTCTCATTAAATTATCTTGCGTTAAGACGACACAACATGAGCAGATAACAAATGGTTTGTTGCTTGTAATCAAATGATAACTATCATTGAAAAGTGATAAGATGATTTACATTTATTAGTCCAGAAAAAAATAGAATATCTGATAAAATTATTCAAACCTATTTAGTAAAACGAATCAAAATCTAAAAAAGAGAAACCGCTAACTCAAATAACATCCAAGTGTTATTCGGCATAAGTGAAGTCCATTACCTCTAGCGTAACAGTCTAAGCTAACAGATTTCGCTACTAATCAGGATTAAATTAATTGTTATGAAGAAATATTAAATCGTTCTTCGCTAGGTACTGGCACCAGTTTTAAGTACGTTAATAACCAATGAATATTGAATAGTTATACTGACTCAAACTGATATCCTTCAGTGGTGTATACCTGGGTTCCAACAGGAGATCGCTTGAAGCATATTCAAATCTTGAGATGAATATGATACTACCAGACCAATGAGTCGGCATTCAACAGTTCACGATTTCAAAACGTTCCGGATGTATTATGTGATGGAAATCACTTTCAACTGATAGAAAATCTTCATAAAAAATATGTGAGTGTAAAACATTCTTTAAATGTATAGAGATTCAATGACAGAAATGTTTTCATTTACCAACTAATTCTTTCTTTCTGTACTATATCCTTATATCCAATCTTCCTTTTAAATATTATCACTAGTGAATTAACTACTTCTATGAATCAGGTGTTCATCTTGCTGTGCTAATGAGGTATGGCAACTTGGACCTATGCACATATGTGCCTGGTCCTACGTTGTAGCTGACTGACTGAATCAGGTTTATGGAAGTGTCCCAAACGATAACACTTGAAGCGAATGGAACACTACTTCTGACACCCTGATTAGGTAAAATAAAGTCTGAAATCAAACAGCGTCAAGTGGAACTTTGTAAACTAATCCTACCTTTTACAATTTATAGACCAGATACTAACAGATAAATAAACCTCTTTCATAAGATACTGAAGATAAAATTACGAACAGAGTTATGGCATGCAGAAAACAGTAATATCTCCCTGCATTCCAAGTTATAACGCTTAGTGGATCGAGGATCTTCGTAAAAAAAAACAGATCAGAGGTCGTAATCGACTGCCAGTTCACTATAAGCATCTATTATTATTCTTTCAACAGCGACATAAATTCAGACTACCTACGAATCTGTTACCAACCTCTATCATAACCTGCTACTACGTTTAGTAAAGTCCTGCATTACGTTTTAGACGTCGGAAGATATGATATCTAATCAAGACACTAGTGTTGTTGAATTGAACTAGATCCCCAATTCCCTTTAAACCTAAGATGTTAGTATTTCTAGTTAGTATGATCCCACTTAAAATCGTTTACTTTATAACAGGTTATTATACAAATATAATAGAAAATTTTCTGTGTACTTACATTTTTCCTTCGCCATAGGAGATTTGTGATTTAAGCTTGAATTATCAAATCCCAAAAAGTCAAATTATCGATATGTAGAAGTTGTGCCTTTTTTATTTGTATAGCAATTCTATTAATATTCATAAGTTTTACTCTGTCAAAGGAAGAAAATCAAACATGGTCGAAACAATTTGCCATATTTTTCATGAATAGTATTATCCATTTCCTGATCGATTATAAGGTGATCGAATTTCGTCCGAAGTCAAATATTACGTCAATCCACCAATCAGATCATGATCGTGGGATAGACTGACCCACAAATACCTCTGCCATGTGTTATCCTGTTTAGTTAGGATTAGTAGAATGGCATAGATTCACCCTGGGTGGGGGATTTCGTCCATTTGTTTTAGGAAAATTTATTTGTACGTATGCGAACAACCTTGTGCATAAAGAAGTTTTTGCATACACGTGATCGAAATTAGCCTGTGTTAGTTAAATAAGCTCGGATAGATGAATAATAGCATGATGACAAATAAAAGTCCACATATGAATGGCATGACGTACATATGAATTTAAACAACTCAGCTAAAATCAAGAATACAAAAAATAGCAAACAAGTTAGCTTCATCAAACTAGGGAAAAAGAAAAGAGGATTAGAGAAGGACATACACAAAACTAAATTTTCGCTTCTCTAAATGAAGTCAGTGAGATTTTGATACAAAAACAATACTAAGCTAACTGACAAGGATCCCAAAGATTAAATCTGTTTAAATGAGTATCAGGAAATCTCTATAAAAGAATTTTATAAGCAAGAGTTAAGTAATTAACAGAATGTTATAAAATTAAAACTAATATGATTAATTAAAGGGGGGATTGTGGCGATTGTTGGATTAGTAGTGGGAAAGACTGAACAACTGTCTTTTTCTCAACACTTAGAGCACCCGCAACCGTACTAGGTGTTATACCAAGTAATAGCTTAGTCAATTGGAGTGCGAACGACATATGAAATTGACTTTTTTTCAGTTGTGTTTGACGTGTATCCACATCTTGAGAAAGATCATATATATGTATAATTGTTTAAATATTGAAAATATATGTTCACGAAGTAATTGATTGAATACAACTTAGTTCAGTTTATACAAATATGACTTTTAATCTAACTGCAAAACGATCATACAAAACACAGTGTATTCTTTTATCATTTTAATTTATTTAAGAGTCGAATAAATCTTTATGACCAGTCTTTGCTTTTACACTTCGCCTGCGGTTATTAGTAGTGGCCAGGAAATTCACTCGAGCGTTCATTCAACAGACTTATCACTAGGGTGCAAACCAAGGACATTTAATCTTGTGGCATGTATATAACCTTCAGGCCCTTGACTTCATATTCAATACTTTCTTTTTCTAACTATAATATATTTGTATCAGAAGGGGCTTTGTAGAGATTATAGTAATTTCAATAGTTTAGATCATGAGTCAATTGAAGCTAGACCACCATGCAAAACCTGGAAGCAATGGACGGCCGTTTTGTTCTACTGTGGGACTCCTCAGCAGTGTGCGTCCACGACCCCGCCCCTCAGGATTCTATGTTCTATGAATTAATCTTTGGATATGTTGCGGGAACAATTTTCAAAACGACTGAATTACCCTATATTTTAATAATGATATTAACAAACATATTATTGTTTCAGTGAATTACTAACTCCGATAACGTGTATGCTAATTTTGTACATGCTGATAAATAGTGGTCACTCGGTTTTGTAGCTGACCTATGAATCGTTTAGCTGTAAGAATTTTAATAGGTAACAACATCACTTAGTATAGTTGGAGATAATATGGACATTCTAGAATACTTCCTAAAAATACTACGATAATTATAAATCTCTATCAATTAGGACTTGATTTGGGACATGTATATTGAATTTACTTGTATTCCAGGGTTAATGATCACACTGAGACTCGAACATAGAATATATATCGCTTCAAACACCAACGAGTTATACACTTAGCTACTGAGTTTGGGTAGCCACTAACTTGTATAATGTGTGATATTTTATTCATCCAAATGGACTGAAAACTTGTAATTAAAGACACAATCCATGTAGTCCGCTTAGTGTGCATATATGCCGATAGAGATTAATTAATTACAGTCAATAATATCAACAAAGGAAACATTCAAACCGGTACATATATTATGTAGTGAAATGTGAAAAGAACATATACGTTATTCATCGTCGAAAGTCTCTACTTTTTTATGAAATACTCCATACTTTATAACTGGGGTTAGTGTTTCGGGCATTTATTTATAACTTTAGAAGAAATTGTCTCATCTTCATTAAGGATGATGAAATGAAAGGCATGAAACCCTGATTTGATACGACCACACCATATAAATTTACAACACATATTCACGTGTGAAAGATAAACAATAATGATTTGTTACGGTCATTGGACATATGATTATATATATAATTATTTATACTTTATTAAACATCCATAATGAGTTTAAAAGCAATCATGTGTTGAAGATACACTCAACCAAATAGCATGTGATTATGTCAACGTTTTATTCATGAAATAAAAATAAACAGTTTTGTAGTTGGGATTTATTGATTAATTCAGAATATTGAAAAATATGTAAATCCCATAAACATTATGAAGTAAATTATGCAATTAGATCACCGCAATTTACTTAAATTGTATGATTCATAAAAAACACTAGCTTTTTCATTAGGTATACAATGAGGCTAAAGCAATAAATAGCAGAAGGATAACTTTGAGAGGGAGAGATTGATAAAGTATGTTCTGAATTCATGGAGAAATATATCTGACTAAAAAAATATTGATTACAATATAAGTCAGAGCTAAACAAACATCCACAATGAAAGACAAAGAGTGCAGGTGATTACCTATTATGTGCAATCAATTCAACTTCAAATCTACTTGTGAATATGTGAAAAAGAACAGTTAATTAATGGATAACTGTACTGTAAGTCATGGTACTGAAAGTTAACACTTATTTATTTCCAGATGGGGTTTGTGGAGATTTTAGAAATTTTCACAGATTGAAATCATGAGTCAGTTGAAGCCAGACCACCATGGAAAACCTGGAAGCACTGGACGGCCGTTTTGTCCTAGTGTGGAACTCCTCGGCAGTGCGCATCCACGATTCCGCACCCCGCGGGATTCGAACTTATTTATTTATTAAGGTCTATCAAAGGACCATTTGCTAAAGCATCATTAAATTCCAAGAGTGTATTTACTTTAGGAAGTTATATTGATGTTTTTGAATATTTTTTCGACTTAAAAAACAGTTTATTTGAATGATGAACAGACTTTAGAATAAATGAAAACCAATAGTTAATGGTTACTTTATTTTCTACATATTTAATATTAAAATTATCTGTCTGCCGTAGTTGTGTAAGTTGATTTCCAGCTGACTTCACAATTTAACAGAATGGAACTAATGGTATTTATTAGCAAAAGACTATCTGCAGCTTACTTCTATGTTTTGACTTACATGAATAAAGTTTTAAAATGTTATTGTGAACAAGCAATAGTATCCATTGAGCTACAACTTTAACAAGACGTAGATACGAATTCAAGTTTTTAGTACACTGAATGGATTGTATTGCACTATTATTTAAAATTAAAACACATAAAATAAAACATTTAGTTATACAGCCATTCTATTAAACATTCATTACATGTAACACACATTGATCATCTCTCTGTGTCTATTAATGTAGATTTGGTCTACGTGCGATTCTGTAAAATTTTTGGGATTATTTAGAATCCTGATTTTCACTATCTTGATTTATCTGGAATTCCGAATTATCTACAAAGTCGTCATTAATAAGAGAATCATCAGAATTAAAACTTGAACTATTTGAAGTTCAGAATTATCTATAGGATCAACATCAGTTGAAAAATGATCAGAATTAAGATTAGAGTCATCCGCATCATTATTATTCATTTAATTCACACACCTAGTCATTTAAACAATGAATCTTTGCCTTCCCACTACCCATTCTGTGAATAATAATTTCCGTAGATGGTCGATATTCATTTCCTCAGTAAAACTGTACTGATGCAATTCTGTTTAGCATATAAGTATACAAGGTTTGAAGAGTATCAGGGCCTCGGTAAATACTTTGCATTATGATATTATAGTAAGGAATTGTCGATGTGTTTCTCTATTCCTTCAAATTACTTGAATTCACTAATGTAATATCACACTTTAAGATCTGAACAAAATTTCGGGAGAGACCATCAAACTTGAAAATAGGTGACAATATTCAATATCGGATTTAGGAATACTCTTGCTCATTCTTATGTAGTTGTATAAAAGCAAAAATCAAGCTTCCGATTCAGCTCTAGGACTTTATCCATTCTAGTGGAGATGAATTTGTAGTGAACATGAACATTTCAAATAGTGATGATGGTTTAAGTAAAGTTTCGCTGCAAAATTTCTCTTAGTTTATCCCTTTATCGTTGTTACAATACGCTTGTAGTGACCTACTTTTACCAAGAGAACGTGATTGGTTTAGTGGAAATAATTATTATTATAACCAATTGTACCAGTGATTGTTTTACTGTGCTCGCTTGTTTAACTGTATTAAAGACATCCATTACTCCTCCATTATTCTTCCGTTGACTGTAGCCTTGTACGCTCGCACGTTTGCCCATTGATTCCGCTTGTACTTCCTTTGGCACGATCTCGGTATACTTTCGATACCACGAGATCGCCAACGAATAAACCTTGTTACAACCTTCATTTGCCTTCTGTTTTTCTGGTACGCGCTCTTCTTGTAGTGGTGTTCATAATCAACCGCGACTCCACTCCACGCTACACGCTCTTCATTAGAAATCAAATTGAAAATTGAGGATAAGTTTTTAGTAAAGTTGGTAATAAATCTGGAGCAAACTGTACGATCTTTTACAATATAGTTTTTTCCGCCATGTGCCTATGTGTACGTCTGTTTGTAAAAATATTTCTGTAAACATTTCTTGTAAGAACAACCATTTGTATTACGCTGCTATTTTGACTCTTTTAATAACACATTCCGTTGGATGCTTGATCTTAAATGGAGCTGCTATAATATACTTTGGTTTTTATAACGTTTCATCTGACTGGGTGGTTTTATACGGAGTAGATTTATTCTGTTTTAACATGACCTCTAACCTTGGTCACAGCCGTCTTGATTTACTATGGCTTGATTTTCGCTCCTCGAGCTAATCAT